GCTTGGATTCTAAACGGTTTCACAAATGTGTAGTTAGGTTCTTACGCTCACTTGGGGCCGTTCACTATGCCCGTTCTCTTGGGGGTGTCCTCATGAAATGCCTGCAAGGAAAAAGATCGCTGGAGCAAAGGCTTACTGCAACCAGCGCAAGGGCTTCACAATGACTGGACCTTAACTCCCCGTGTGTCACAGTGGATGTTTTTGCTGACACCTGCATGTTGTTAACCTACCTGGCCAGTTTTCAAAAATAACATTTTGATTCCAAGGATGTCCAAGTATGGGGAAGGCTTGCTGTATTGGGTCGAGACCAAGATCACAGGGAAATGTTCGATGCTTGGCTTTCGAAGCTGCACGCTGTAGTAACTTATTTGTCTGCACTAAAGTGCGGTACTTCTTTTTTTCCTCCTTGCCGTTATAGCCCTTTACCAAGTATAAGTCGTTTATAACCCCATTTATGCAATTATAATCCTATTAATAGAACCACTAATTAGAAGTCAGTTATAACTTATAACACCATTTGTGGAATGATAACCCCCGATAGGCATTTATGATTGGTAAAGGCTTTCACATGTAGCCTTGACCCTGAGGAAAACCACCCGGGATATGTACGAGGAGATGTGGTCGGATCAGGAGGAGTGGGACGGCGAGATGCCTGACATGCCTGACATGTCTGGCCTGGTCCCCGACTTGCCTTTGGACCCAGGTTACTCGATGACATTGATTTCTTTGTTTTTGAGTATTCTCACAAATTGCTGTTAACTTTCCTTTGTCTCCTCTCAAACCTGATGCCGGTTCTTCAGGTGCAAATGGCGAAGGGGACACTACTTCCCAGGTGGCAAATGATGAGGCACAGCAGGAGATCATGAAGCTCCTGAACTTTCCGGAAGTTGAATGTGCGCCCAAGGCCCCAGCATTGGCACCAAAGGTTTCCAAGTGCTTGCAGAAGCGCATTACCAAGTTGCAAGAGTTCATGAAGAAGTTTTCTGGAAATCTTTCCGAAAACCAGAAACTGAAACTTGTCTTCTCCAACTAAAAACACTGAAGCTTGCTGAAGCACCTAGTGTCCAACTAACTATGTCTGTGGAATCCAATATCCCATTTTCAAAGAAAGTTCCTGGAAAGTTGCTCCAACCGATTTTATGTGCCCTTCCATGCCAGCCCAGGATCTTTGGGAAGTTGCAGGCTTCTGAGAAGGAGCTGACTAAGATCGACAACGAAGTGAATGATGCGTACAGCCAGGGGATTGCAGAAGGTTTTTCTTCTGAGATTCTTGTTCAAATTGTTGGGCCCTGCTTGCGGGAAAGTATTCGCCCCATGCCCCCACAAATTGCCATTTACTTCCACACTCCCTCATGTCCTTGCCGCCAAGAAACTTTGGCCTCAGGATGCAGAAGCAGCTCAAGGCCATCTTTGACCGCGCCAAAAAGGAGCCATTGCCTCAGATCGATGGACAAATCCATGCCATGAATGCCATCACACGGCTGGTGTGGACCCAGGGCTTCTGGAGCACTTTGCTTGGAGAAGCGTGCCAAGCCTTGGGCTCAAAAATGATATTTGAAAAAATGAACACATCACACCAATTTTTTTCACCAGAGCTTCAACAAATTATTTCAGAGTTTCTACGCTGAACGATTGAACTGATTTCCCAGGATGGTGCAGCCATCCCAGCGTCCGGTGCCCAAAGGGCCACCGCCCAAAGCAAGTGGGAAGGCAGTGGCAAAGTCGAAAGCAGTACCGAAGAGTGTGGTGCAGAAGCGCCCTCCTACCGAGAACCCCCCGACGCCGTCAGCCAAGAAACGGGCTAAGCAGTAAATCTTTAGTTTTGTCTTCTGGGCCATAGATGTTTGGACTTCACCCCAGCTACTTAGCCTGTGTGCTGTGCAGTTTTGGGTCTGTGCTATTTCACACTGCAAAGTCTTGTCGAAGCTGGAAGCCGCAACCGAGAGAGCAGCAGCTGAAAAGAAGCAGCCTACACGTCAGCATTTTTCACATAGAGATTACCCAGTATGCACAACAAATTCATTTGATTTCATCAGTAACCCGGCTTGGTGTAACCCGGATTGCATCAGAATCCCTTAGATTCACAAAATTTGGGACGAAGCAGGAACCATCTTTATTACTTTTTGCGCGTTCTAAAACCGATTCGAAAAGAGAACCGTCCATTGCCAGGTGAACCTCCGCGACATGAACTTAAGCAACATATGGCTGAATGCTTGGGGGAAGGAGCTGGGGGCCTAGCAGCTCCTAGCATGGGAAACTGCTTGGAAAACTCATGCGCATCCTGGTGCGTGGTTTGGATTTTGGTGAAATGTCCTAGCACTTTTCTGAAGTGAAATCCGACACTTGAAAGTTCCAAGCCCTATTTTTAGTTCCTGCCAATGTGTTCCAATCTTCCGGAGCCAAGGTGCCAGCGGTGGACGTTAAGCGTGCCATCCAAGCTGGGTCAGTGGACTCCACCACTTGCGCCAAGAAGCAGCGGGGTGAGGTCCGACAGGCTGACAATGCTGAGAGGGATTGCCACAGGATGTTTGTTCGGATGGGCTACTCCCTTCCAGTCCCCATCCAAGAAGTCACCCATGAAGTGGAATCTGAACTAATCACTACACATTGGGTCCGCATGACTGACTATTGCTCCTATTTCTTGAAACGAGCTCCATTTCTACTGTGCGGTGGAAATGGGTCAGACCTACACCATCGCCTGAAAAGTTTTTGGGAAGCTTATCGCTGTCACCACCCTGGCCACAAAGTGTATGAGGATCATGCTAATGAGCTAGAAAGGGTGATACCCTTCTGCTGGCATGGCGATGAAGGAAAAGGCCCAAAGCGGGCTACTTTCATGGATTTCTCGTTTGAGACGCCGCTGGGGCTGAGTTTGCAAGATGAGAATTTTACCTGCTCATGTTCTCAAGACATCGCAGAATCTCAGCAATTTCTGGTCTCAGCGGAACAGGTCTGCAGAAACATGGACCGCCATGATGCATGCTGTGCGCGGAGCATCACACACAATGCGGCTGGGCACAGCTACTTGAAACGATATCTGCTGTTTGGTCTTCCACACGCATGGTACAAAGATGACATGCAGCCAATCCTGGACAAGCACCTGGAGCTTGTAACTGAAGATGCAGTCAATTTCTTTGAGAAGGGCATCGTTGTGGACGACCAGATTTATTACGGTGCATTTTTGGGTTTGAAGGGGGACTTGAAGTTCCACAAGGACGTGACAATTAGCCTGACCCGATGTTATGCCAACTTGGGCAAGACCCGATCCTTGATGATGTGCTCGTACTGTTGGGCAGGACTTGCTGAATATCCTTTTGAAGAAGTTGATGAGTGCCCAAACTGGTCACAAACGATGTATCAAGATCGGCCGTGGAGAACACCGCCGGTGTTCGCTCAGGTCCCGTTTGATCAGGACAAGCCGGAATTCGCATTGAAACTGGACGTCTTCCACACAATGAAAGTGGGCTTCAGCAGGGACGTCGTTGCATCCATCATTGTGACGTTGGCTAGGCTCAAGTACTTTGACTTTGATGACGCTGAATCGTTATCAATCAATGCGCGCTTGAAACGTGCTCATGGCGCATTCCGGTTGTGGTGTGCAGGTGCACATTGCAGCCCAGGGCTGCGGAGCTTTACTCGTAGCTTTTTTAATTGTACGACATCTTTGAAGGCCCCTTGGGCGAATGCTAAGGGAAGTGATGTCACGATGATGTTGCAATGGCTGAGCTTCTTGATCCCGCTCATCTTGAAAACGAGAGACTTGGAGGCCCCAGAGCACAAGAATTTGTTGAAAGTCATGTGCCACTTGACAAATGACATCCTCAACCTACACAGGATCTTGCAGACCCACGGCCTTTTCTTGCAGAGACAATGCGCGCAAAGACTTCACCAACTCATTATGAAGATTGCGAAGTCATACCACTGGCTCGCTCGGCAAGTCATGGTGCTGCAAGTTGTTGGCTTCAGCTTAAAGCCAAAGTATCATTGCTTGAAACACATTGCATACCAGCTGAGAAAGGAGATTCTATCTTGCTCAGAATTCTGCCTCAACCCTCTGGCCTTCAATTGCGAAGGCAATGAGGATCATGTTGGAAGAGTTTGTAAGCTGGGGAGAAGTGTATCTACCCGTACGATTTCAAAGCGCGTCATTCAACGTTATTTTCTGAAAACCAGGGCCCTGATTCGTCGGCATCAAGACTCGCTGCTGAAAAAGAAGTGAAAAACGCATCAAGATTGGGAGAGATGATGGGAAGGTAGCAAGATTCAAGTTTTCATGATTGGAGTTGGATGAGGGTATTGTGGCCAGGGTGGTGACAACTTTTGTAGGGTTAGTCAAATCAAGCAGGAATTTACCCAAACGATCCTCGGCAAAAATCTATCAGCCTTGGCATTTTTTTTTGGCCTCGGCATTTATTTTGGAAGTCGGCAGAAATTTCTGCCTACGGCAGGTTCGGCACTTTTTTCTGCCTAGGGGAGTTCATAGGTATATATATACATCTGGCTGGTGGTTTGGAACATGAATTTTATGACTTTCCTTTCCATATATTGGGAATAATCATCCCAACTGACTTTCATATTTTTCAGAGGGGTAGGTATACCACCAACCAGTATAGTATAGCATTTTTTGTATATTTCATAGAATGTAATCACCTAATATGATACATGATATGGTGCCCATTCTTGTCCTTCTTTTTGGTGGCTATTTCCCGATTTCGGGAACTTTCCATCAGGCAAAATTCAATCACCAAATTGGAGGTGTCCATAGTCATGGTGGTACCCCAAGCTCGCTGGATGGAAAAAAAATCATGGATTTTTTCCCAATCTATAAATGGATGATTTGGGAGTCCCCATGACTTACCCTCTGGTAATTTAACGTAGCTATTGAAAATGGCCATTTATAGTGGATTTTCCCATTAAAAACGGTGATTTTCCATAGGTATGTTAGTTTACCAGAGGGTAGGAAACCTCCAAATCATCGAAAAAAAAAACACGTCTCAGAGGAGGTGGTCCAGTATATGTTGGCCGACGTCAGCCTTTTGAATTTCCGTCGAGGTTCTCACACTGGTCCGGAGGGGGTTGGGGAGACGTCGCTGTGTGGAAAAGACTTCGGACATTGGTTTCTTAATTGAAGTTTTGCGTTGATTTTTTTAAAGAGACTTTGACCTTTGCGGAGATTTAAAGTAACGATAATGAGATAAACATGGAAGATGTAGCAGTTCAAACATTACTTGAAGTAGTGATTTGAAATTGCACATGGTTATCTCATGCTATATCGCTTCAGGTGATTGTAACTGAAGGACATGGGAATGCCATAGGTGCCCACTGCGAGGATTTGCTGAGGTTGACTTTAGATACTGCAAATGATAGTAAATGGTTTGGGGTAACCCAAAGTGCCCTGAATTCAGGTAAGTGAATTATGATTGATTTTCAGGCATACTATTTCCCAAGGATACATCATATTGTCACTGAATCCCAAGGATACTTTTTCCAGATAAATGATTTTTCAAGCATACTATACTTCAGTCATAAGGTCATAGAATTGGATTATGGGAAAATTTACAGGAAAACCCTATATTTGATGGTAAAAACCATGGTTTCCTGTAGATTTTCCCTCCAATCCAGTCATAAGGTCGCATTCCAGTTGCTGCCGGGGTACGACGTATCACGTCGTGTCACCAGGACTGCTGCCGGCGGTCCAAGCTGGAGACGAGGCCGCGGGGCAAACGTCTGGGTTTTCTGAGGATTTTCTGAGGATTTTGAGTGTTTTGTTTCCCTTAAAATCCATCACTTCTGGGTAAATTTCATCACGACCTCACTGCGACCGAGCCCTGGAAATCATGGTTTTTATATGGGAAATCATCCCCAAATGGCCTTAATTCAGGTTAGTGAAATATTATAATTTACCCAGATCACTTGGGGGATTGTGTTTTTTCTTTTTTCTTCCTTTTTCTGAGGGTTTCCTCAAGCAAATCCAAGTATGAAATTGACGGCGAAACGAGTGAAATTGACGTAGTTGGATTGCCAACACATTAACTTGGCACCAAATACACATGGGGTATTGACTATCAGCAATACACACAATATTAAGCAATAATGCGACAGTTTCTGGTTGTACTCTTGTCGAAATTCGGAATGCTTAAGCGTCATCTATTCTACACATGGGTCGATTGTCTTAACTGTTGGGTCATCAAAATCGTGGAACCGAAAAAATTGGGGCCGGTTAAACGGGCCGGTGGTGGGGACCCCAAGAAAGGGTTTTTCATCGCTGTTGGGGAGAATGCGATGTGTGGAACAGAGATTGACCCACAAAAAAAATGTGGCGAATGCGATTGGGTAAAATCTGGTCTGAAATCATCAGAAAACACGAGGATCACCTCAAGCCGACTCAAGGCTAAATGTGCGTAGCCATTCTCAGTTACCAGGGAACTGGGACTTTTTTGTCCTGTTGATTTCAGTACAAGGGATCCGCTGGGCCATGGCCGTGGCTTAACTACGGGCCACAAAAATTGATGCTACACCCTAGCCATACCAATCATTCATCTGAACCCCATTCATTGTGCAAAACTCTCATGCTTTTACCCCCATCCATCATGCTTTCTGGGGTGTGTGGGCCACCAGACCTAAGACCTTCCTTCTTGGATGACGAAAGTGACGGAAGTGACGGAAGTGACGGAAGTGACGGAAGTTGGAGAGTGGTTGGAAGCCATGCAATCCTTGTACCCTTGTAAAATCACCTATAATTTCATGGGCTACATATGACTATCTGGTTGGTGGTTTGGAACATGAATGTTATGACTTTCCATTCAGTTGGGAATGTCATCATCCCAACTGACTTTCACTCCATCATTTTTCAGAGGAGTAGGTCAACCACTAACCAGGTTTAAGTGTTTAACTACTAGGAACCGGGAAACAAATCCCTCAACTATGTTAACTATCTGTCGGAACTTATGACTTATGGCTATATGTTTTTTCAATCACCTGCTTTGTAGCTCTAAGTTCCGACAGGATGAATACCAATCGGATCCAAGTTGCCAGGCCTTGGTGCGAGAACTCTTGGAGGGTCAGGTGGATCTGTCCCTTCGCGACTTGGACGGCAATCGAAGAGGAAATTCGCAGAACTGGGGCTAGCGAACCCTCTGGTAAACGTTAACAGAAAGCTATTGAACATGGCCATAGAAATAGAAGATTTACCCATGAAAGATGGTGATTTTTCCATAGTTATGTTAGTTTACCAGAGGGTATATGCTGTACATATCTGTACACTGAATGGTCTCAAGATCTTTTAAGGTGTTTCAAGATGTTTTCTTGTGCCAACAGGTTCTGGTATGATTTCTCAAGAGATCCAAAAAGGGCGGCCATGCAGCTGAAAGGATCCCTAGGGATCCCTAAGGCGATGCTCGTGGGGCTTCACTGCTCCATTGTGCGGTGAAACGTCAAGATGTCCCAGTCCTGATGGAACTCCTTCGTCATCGAGCCGAGGCACAGCTGCGCAACGCCAATTTTTCAGGCTTCGCCATGGGATACCGATTTGGATCTTCGACATAGATCCCGAAAAACATGGAGATGGAACCCAAAACTTGCCATATCTCAATAATTAGGTTTTTTTTCCAAACGCTAAGTGTTGAGGTTCCGTTTTAATTTTGGGGGGTGTATACCGACAAAATAGGTACCAAGTATATATAATTAATACATGTATTTAAGATTGGCCATGATAACTTGCGAGTAAGCGGCTAGTATCCATACATCATACGTCATCATACCATTTTTGGGATACCAGGGTAAAATTAACATGTTGTTAACCACTTGAGCTTTGTGGGACGCTCCCCCACGTAATTGACCCTTTTCGGAGCCATGTGCCATCTACTGCCGCTATACTATACTGTATTTTCAACTGAAGTTGCAGTCTGTATTCTGTAACCTCGGGCCGATTTCTTTTTTAGTTGAGCAGTGACTGTCGCCTCATAAATTCATTGGTCATTCTTTGGGTTCTTCATATGACATACCAGCCATTCCATGATTGTTCTTGGACCAGCATCATCCCAGGGAACTTACCATACGCACCCGGGATAGCCATGGGAACTTACCATATACAAACATGGGATGCACAAGTAGATGATGATAAAATAATACATGGAAAAAAACACGAAAACTTCCCAAGTTTGTTGGTTCAATTTCCAGTTGTTGCTGAAACCCTTCCACTTTCGCATGCAAACACGTGTGGCAACCGCCACTTGTGTTGATCCTGGCAAGTGAGTGATTCCAGGAATCGAAAAAATCAGATTCAATGAAATTATTCCCACCCACCTGTTCAAATTGGTTACATATCTATTGGATGGTCCCAGTCGTTTTGTTCTCGGCGCAACGCCAGGTGAATTGCCTTGACAGATATGGGCGAACGCCTTTGGATCTAGCCAAGGCCACGGCCTGCTGGTGAAGTGATAAAATATGAGTTTCTCAGATTTTCAGGTGCAACACCAGGGAAAATATGGAAACATATAAGTGGGATGTGGAAACATATATAATTATGTATATATATATATATATTGTATATTTACACATTTATTTATAGAGATCATAGAGGTACATACAAAGGTGGGGAAACAGAAAGCATCTGATTTTTCGATAGGTGAAGGACTGTATGTTCTTGATCTTGTTGAAGCAGAACTGCTCATTTTTTCAGACCAGCTGCGCTGCTGCGCTTTTGATTTCGCGATTTGACCTGGAAGCCGAGGGCAAGCCTCCAGTAGTCAGCTCCGGCGATTCGCCAGTCATGTTACCAGAGGCTGTCTATAGAAGAAAACATGTAAAACCAGCCACTGTTAGTTTACATGATATTTAATGGTACTTAATATGTTTTAATGATATTATAGGGTACCATAACATATTATACTTAACATATTAGTTTTACTTAATTATCTAATTATGTAACCATATTATATGATAATTCATGATATTTAATGGTACTTAATATATGGTATTACCATCTGGTTATGACTAACAGTTTGCCGTGGAAAGATCCACCATGCTATTAAGAACGGTAGACCATCTATTTCGATTAGGGCCATCAAAAAGCCATGGCGAACTGTTAGTCATAACCAAAGGGTAAAATGAGAGATTTAGGAGTGATCACGCAGTTGAAACACTTGTATCATCTTGTATCTCCGAATCGGGTGTTTTAGTAGACTGTCCCATGTTTTTTTTCACCATGAAAATCTCCATTCATTGAATTTATAGAATGAACAATCCCCATTCCCCTAAATCATAAATCTATAAATTTCCATGTTAGAATGCTTAGGGATTTTATGAGTCATAAAATCCATCCATTCCATCCATTCCCCATGGGACAGTCGATTGATGCTTCGGCCATCGCGGGGGCGCTGAGGACTCCTCCGAGGTGGCCTTTCTTCTCTCAAAGCGAGGTGCGCGCTTAGTCTTACCGCCGTCCTCGTGGGGTGAGTTTCCAGCAGCGGGGCATAGCCAGGATGCGTTGAAAATGGATGAGTTTCCACCATGGCAGAAGTTGAAATGCTTGAAATGTGAAGATTTTTCGCCAAGATATATGATGATAAATTAACAGTTGGACCCTGAAAATAGCCTAGTTTGAATGGATTCACTAATCTTCCAACCCCGATGACTGCCAAGGTCGAACTGTTAATTTACCAAAGGGTACACGATGATATATGGGTGTCCATATGTGTCCATAGTCATGGGGGTAGCCCAATAGCTGGTATAGAACATCCAAAATACTGACATGGATGATTGGGCCTGAGGAAACCGCCTCTTTGAATGTGCAGAGAAAGCCCAGTGTAGCGAAGACATGTCAGGATGATTGGTTGTTTGAAGTGACGGTAACTGCTTGGACCAAACGTGACGCTTCAGCAGGATGTGAGATGAGGTTGTCGGAAAGCAGGGTATCCCCAAAATCCACGGGTTTCTCGTGTGAAATTTCCCTATTAAAATTGGGATTGTTGGGTGAATATGCCACTTTCAGACGCATCCACATACCCTGCGTTGAGGATGTTTACCCTCCGGAGTCATCAGCCATGGCTGGCTGGAAAATCCTTGCACTCACTAGCCATGGAGGTTTTGTAAGCATCCAGAAATTATGTATATATATACACACACCTGTGGATATACATAAAACAATATAATTATATGTGGATATACAGTACATAAAAACTAAGCTTGGCTTGAGGTTTACATTCCATTTTCCATCAAGACAAGGTTTTGTCAGACTCCAACCATTTTCAATGTCTGGGGATTTTTCGTTGTGTCTCATGTGATATTTTATCTAGTCCCGGATGGCTAAATGTTGTTCCAAATTGATGTCCTATGTGGTGTTCTCCGGATTTGGTGCGTACGGGCAGGATGAAACACATCGTGTTGACCCTGTGAAACGCAGATGTTGGCCATTTTAGAATTCACTATCCTCTTTTGGCCTTGTCTCCCTTTTTTTTCCTTACTCATTCTTTAATGAGCCGACATAGATACCAGTATGGACAATCTAAGATTTGTAGATGATCATTTCCTATGGAAACACATGTCTATCTTGGTTTACGGCAGGGTAGTATACCCCCCTTTCTACTACCAGTATGATCTTGGTGGGGATTGTTAGAAGTCAACCCTTCCGGCTACCCTCCGGTAAGCAACTGGACATCCTCTATAAGTGGAAGGTTTGGTGGGAAAGCCATCTATAAATGGGTGATTTTCCATTGCCATGTTTGACTACCGGATGGTAATATTGAAAACCCTGTACAACGATCCACAACACCTGGTTCAGTATTCGATCTTTTCATTTCAGGGGGCACATGTAGAAATTTCAAATTCCTTCGAGATCTGGAAGTAGTGCCATGTCTAGAGATACTCAATGGATATGGGTAAATTTCATCACGACCGAACCCTGTTCGACCGAACCCTGGAATCATGGTTTTTATAAGGGAAATCATCCCCTTTTATGGCCCAACAATTCAGGTTAGTGAAATATTATGGCCTTTACCCAGATACTACCTAATACATGAATGGAAATCACCATTGACCAAGCATAATTGCATAATCATTGGGGGATATTGGGGGCCTTTACCACATAATCATTGATATATGCCACATAATCATATATAATCATATTATGGCCTTTACCCAGATATATGATTATATATGGGAAATCACGATGATTATCAATGATTATATATGGGAAATATATAATGGCCTTTACCCAAATGGATGGGTCAAGTTTTTCTAAATCCATGGGATCCTCCCCACTTTGTCAAAGGATTCATTCCAAGTCATTTTTCCTGGTGAAACTTCCTGGGTTTCTTGCGTACAGGTGCTTGATCCATGCCATTTCTTGTGGCACATGATATACTTGACATTCCAAGGGCACAGCTTCAGGGGCTTCTACGGGCGAGCCTGGGCCCGATGATCGTTGATACAAATGAGAAGCTTGGAAAAGACATCAATTTCATGACCCGACAAACATGCTGTTGGAAGTTGATATGAATTCTTCATTTATCCAACTGGTTGCTAACCAGTTGTTGCTGTTATCTGAATTGTTGGTACCCCTGTGATCGTTTGTGTTTATGCATATCCCTATCACTGTGGATCAAAGAAGCTAGGATACATCAAATGATTGCCATCATTTTGAGGTATGTTTTAGGTTTTCAGCAAAACTTGACCCATACAAAATATAATTATATCATAGTAGAATTAGTTTGTCTTCCTGGGTTTAGGGCACATATTAGGACATATTTCGTTGTTCAACCAGGCCAACCCCACACATCTACGCTCGGAGCGGCAGGTGGCCAAAAGAGTGACGATTTGGAATGAGTGTTTCATGTTGCTGGCGGCAATGATCATAGGATAAAAAGAGTGCATGTCAGTACGTATAATATATATATACTATGTAATATGGATATGTATATATATATATATTATAATATAGTAATATAGTATATATCCTTTGTATAGATCCATAGATAGTGATAGATAGTGATGGATAGTGATAGATAGTGATAGATAGTGATAGATAGTGATAGATAGAGATAGATAGAGATAGATCGGATCGGATCGGATTTGCTTGGATTTTTGACCCATATGTGGGTGTACTCAACATGTTCATGGATAATCAGAAGAAGCTTCGATCATCGCCAGCGACCTCGCCGTCTTCCTTCAAAGATTGGGCCAAAGGGCCAACGATCTGAAGGTTGAGACTTGATTTCTGAAGCTGATGAAACAGTTGCTGATGAGAAAGGGGTTTTGATGTAAACTGGCTTCTGTCATTTTTGCTTGGTATCTCATAATATCTCCCACTAATATAAAGAAAGTAACATCTTTAAGATGCATTATATGATAAATCAAGGACGGAGGTAGTATCAATTTCCCTTTTTATTTTTACATGACATTTTTTAGAAGTGAATCTGAATGGCTCAATCGGAGCCACTGAGCCCTCTATCAGATTTGCAGATCAGCATTGACAATGCTCCACTTAGGTCGATAAGTCATCTATCACCCATGCCGATCTGCCGTGATTATGTGGAATTACAAGAGGGTATAAGATATGTGAAATCAATAGAAATTACAGTTGTGATCTACGAGATGTGTGCATGATCAATGCATATCACTCGTAGTTATATGCAAATGTATATGTGCAAATACATGTGTATACAGTATATACATATATAGTTAGAGGCCCCATGCCCGTCTTCCAAATATCTAACCCCCAAATCTTACGCCATCAATTATCAATAAGAAACCCAATGATACATGGGATGTAAGATGGGCAAGCCATAGCAGATAGAAAAAATACAATCCCAAAATATTTATCTTGTTTGGTTGAAACCACAGTCCAAGTCAGGCTTTAGAACTTGGAAAAATTGGTTAAGCTCAGCCAATGAAACAGCACCCATGAGAACTCCATGGAAAACCAATCAATGCTGGATCGACTATGGCCCATTTAAGTTGGCTTTTGAGGGGTGTCCATTGTTGATGAAGCCAAAACCTCACGTTGATGAATGATTTTGTGTAGCAAAGTGTTAGGTATACCAACGATCCAAATTTGATCCATAGTTCCATAGATTTCGCCCCTATTAACCGCACAAAAAAACAATCCTCCATTCATATTAAACATGCCCATTCTGTGGTCGCAATTATGTGGGGTTTTCCTACATCCACCATGGCTTCTACCGGGGGTGTTAAATATCAGGGGGATGGGTTTCGCATCCGTAATTAGTTATTACATTCAACCACTATTAACCAGTATTAACCACTATTACTATTACCCATCATTTAACCATCACTTAACCATTATTCATCCAATAGATTTAACCACTACGAACGCTGTTATTAACCATTATATTAACCATCATTGGGACCGTTGTTCATTCAGATTCAATAGATTTAACCACTAACCATTACTAGCGTTAACCTAACCATCATGTAACCATCATTAAATCATTATTCATCCACTAGACTTAGCCACTATGAAGGATTACTAGCTCAATCCAACGGTCCGTGATCAGTTAGGCCGTGGCTTTCCGAGGCGTTGGGTGCTGCTATGGCTGAAGAAGAACTTCACGGGCGGTCGGGTCACCTGTGACGCGGGCTCAACGCTGTGAGTCCCTCACTGCGCCAAAATGATGCTATGGGATTCCGGCATGGGAAATGGAGAGTTCCCAAAATGGGGGTACCCCTATATAAATCATCCCTTTTAGATTGGGATGTTCCATTACCATCCCGCTGTTGGGGGTACCCCCATGACTATGGAAACCCCCAAATAAGTTTTTAAGCTGGTGTTTTTCATGGTAAATCCCGCAAATATGGGAGTTGCAGAAATGGTTGCGGATCATTATGACCCAGGACCAACCTTAAGCCATGGCAGCCATTGTTTTTATAGAAACCATGACCAAATTGATGATCCCCAATGACAATCACCTCAGGGTTGAAGTCACCAGACATTTTCGGGGCTTATTCCGCCGGAATTCGGCCGAAAGATTCGTGAAGTCCCCAAGCAAGATCCCAAGTTATCTGTTGGATAACTTACTTACCGATTTGCCAAAAAAACGTATTTCATCTACCGAAACTGAATTCATACTGCACATTTTTTCAAGGTCAGGGGTTGTCCAAGGTGCGGTGCTTCTTGAAGGTTGAGCATGATGAACCATGAAAATTCTAAGGTTTTTCACCAACTTTCATAGCTCAAATCCTATTTCCTGACCTTGAAGAGGTAGATGTGTTTTCATCGTTGATAATGTTTGGGAAATCACGGGGAAACTTTGGGGATTTTATCCCCACATCTTGGTTATGCCCCATGTTGAAAAACCAATGAACTCATTGGCTGAGGATCTGTTCCGGATGAGGCGCACGAGGATCTGTTGGAATTTCAGAGGGCCAATATTCCTTGTAAATAGCCTCTGGTATACAAAAAACGAACTGGAAAATCAGCATTTGTTATGGGTAAATCTAGAAATTCAATGGCCATTTTCAATGGCGCCATGTGAGTTTGCCGGAGGGTATCCAAATCAGTGTGGCCTTCCATGACTGGACAGGGATCTGCAGTATGTCTTTTGCAGCTGAGATTTAAAAAAAAACATGTTTTTAGAGATTCCGCATGGTGTTAGCATCTTGAATTATACACAAATTGCCCCAAACATCACCCTTCATGTACGACTATATGTATATTCCTATGCAAACACCATGCAGGCTCTAACTGCTTAACGCGTACCAATTTATGCATCATCCTTTGTGTCGATCAGCAGTGGACATACTGACTGTATCAACTTTTCCACAAGGGCTTAGACCCTCCAAATACCTTCCAAAATATTGGTAGACCGTCCTCTAATCATAGGATTTATAAGGGAAAACGTGGTGTTTATACCATTTTTACGGGTACTTTTTTTACGGAGGGTCAAAGGGTACAGATTTTACACATCGAGGTGCTGTTGGATGCCTTACTTGCAGAGCAACACTTTCACTACAAGCAGGTGACTCGGATCCAGGGTCCCGGGAGAAATCACAAATCACTTACCCATGACGGATCCATGGTGCTGCTATGGTAACATGGATCCCATCCATATACCCCAGTCATGTTAGCATATATACCAGCACCATGGATCCGTCATGGGTTATAGTAACCCCCATGCTGAACAGTGTTTACAGATGTTTACAGAATGCGTGTTCCGTGATCAGAAATCCACTTATTTGATGCTTAGCAGTGCGGTTACACAAGCGCTGCGCGCTTGGCCGTAGGTCCTTCACGGTGCGCCCCGCTAGTTCGATGATTTTCCCACTAAACCTTCATAATCATTTATCATGGAAATACTCATGAACGGAGGTTTATAGCTGGGAAAATCATTGAACTGAATGGTGGATTTTTGATTGCCATGTTTGATTACCAGAGGGCATCAGTTTTTTTTATCGAAAGTTGATAGGAGTTTGTTTCTTGTGTCTGAAAATCAATAGTGCAAAGGTTTGGCGAGGTGAGCATTCATCTCGCTAAATCATTATGACAGGTGGTATCTATGGTGGATCTATCTATAGTTAGATGGGTTTATACAGTTCTTACAACTATATATAGAAACATCAACCTTAAATACCATGGGTTTATATAACTATAGCTATAATCAGTTTCCATCAGTTATAACCCATAGTTATAAACTGTTATAAACCCATGGCATTTATGGTGGATATACGCCTAAACCATCAGTTTCTGACCCCAGTTGAAGATGTGCTGAAGCCACTGAAGCCACAGAGACACTGAACGCACCTACTGGACGACTGGGAAATGAATCTCTGCCAGGATGACTGCTTGAACACATATAATAATGATAATGATACTAATAATGACAACACCAGTAATATATATATGTATGATCATATATATATATACATGTGTATGATATACATATGTATAATACTTGCAGATGTATAACATGATATAACACGTGTATAATATTACACACGTACTATACATATATATATACATGCAAAAATGACATTTATATGACATGATATATTTGGTACACTCACATATTAGATGATAAATACAATGATTGATACGATGCACTATACTATGTTTTAATTCATAGATTATGTGTATCATGTATGATATATATATATAGTATACAATACACACTATATATGAAATAACTGTTTAAATATATTCAGCCTATTTTATATCTGATTTTACTTATATACTTTGTTTTTCTTGTTATAATACATATTATATATGCTCCTGTAATACAAGTGGTTCAGATTTTGTAGGACACATGTTTGCGGATATGTATATATGTATGTAAACACATATCCGCACATTTGATATATGATATGTCTATTTTTATGATGTTTGTTATGTGTTATATTTGTTATACATATATAATATACACATATCACATATGTATATATATATATACTATGTATGTTTATATATGTATATGCATAAATACATGCATATACACGTATATCATAATCATATAACCTCCCGTAAAATCCACCCTTTGTAGATCCCGAATCCCGAATGGGAAACCATGGGTTTTTCAGATCTATGTCAACGTTTACGGGTTGGGTAATAGAAATATGAGATAGACTATGTGTAATCTGAATATCATGTATTACACACATATGCTCTCCGGTAAATTAACATAGACCCCGGACATCACCCACACTAAAAGTGGTTTCACGAATCTTCCAAGCCCGATGACTGCCAGGGTCGTCATGTTAGCTGCAGGGTATCAGTTGGCTAAAAAAATCGGGACCTTCAGAGACGATCCAAGAGCACAGGTAGGATTTCTATGATATGAGTTATGTTAAGATCTTCTATACATGTTATATATATTATATAATATGTGTTATATCTATTTATATCTGTTATATCATGTGTGTTATAGATTGAATGTCATTTTTTCTCAAAGATATAGACAGTAGATTATCACAACACATTTGGGGCCAAAGAAGTGGAGCCAGCAGGTCTTGGAGTCCGGTTTGACCCCGTTCTCCTTGAAGTTGTCGGGGGCCTCGGAGCGGAGCGGAGCGGAGCGAAACCAGCGCCACGGTGAGATATGTCCCAAATTTCATCCCATTTCCATAAAACATAGTGGTTTAATAGTGGTTTAATAGTGGTTTAATAGTGGTTTAATATGGTTTAATAATGGTTAATAATGGTTATTCATGGTTATTCATGGTTATTCATGCTTACTATACCCTCCGGTAAACTAACATATGGATCTTTCCCAAAATGGTGGTACCCCAATAGCTGGATGGTTTATAATGGAAAATCCCTTTAAACATATATTAAAATGGATGATTTGGGGGTACTCCTATTTCAGGAAACCTCCGTATCAAACATCCAAAATGATCAAACACGAATTTGTTCTGACGTTTTACTTGGGTATTTTTGTTTTCGGAATAGAAGTCTCAACATGACGTGTGAGTTTCTTTATCATCTTGTTGCCCCTCATCCTGAGCCATGAGAAGAAAACCCATAAAAATGGGAACAGGGTCTTTCTGTTGATAGAACTATCCTTAAAATGTTTAGCATATTTTGTTTGGTAGTTAGACTTACTATCAAGTTAAACTTCATTTTTGGTTTTGAAGGCCCAACATTTTATCTTTGTCATGGAGGAGTTGTTTGCTTCATCAACAACAAACAAAACCACATTGTTCTTATTCCTGCACTTGACACTTTACATGCAACTTCCAGGCAAGGCATTGTTAGAAACTCGTGAAATATCAGGGTTTCTGATGGGTCCAAAGCCATTTTTGCTATGACCATATGACTGGGGGAATATTAACATCCATTAACATCATTAACCAGCTATGACTTAGGGTACCATTTGGCTGCCCGGGGCCCTTGACTCACAGCCGCCACTCAGATTCCCAGGTTCAATTTAGCTTCCACCTGGATCCGTGCCATTTTGCCCCATGTGCTCTCGACATCTGGGCCAAGATTGTGGGCAGCGGGCGGTGGGGTATTCATAACCAAAAGTGAGTTGATCAGCTATGGAGTTAGTAAATGTACGTACATATTCATACCCGATTGTTTGCGTTGAGGTATTGCTATTGATTTGGGAGTTGGATTATGGGTCATTCCTTGGACTCCGTGATCCAAATTGGGGTCAGGTTTCATGAACAACGAGGAAACGGGTCCAAGTTTCTGCATGATTTTTATAGCCAACCAGCTTAATGGTGTAAACTACAACCCACAGTTGGGTCGTTTTTTTTATGGGAAAGTGGAGAGGTTCACCACACAATGAGGGCCTTTGGGGTGAGGCGGTTTGCTAACATCACCATGTTTAAGATGTTTAAGATGTAATTTATCAACCCAAATGGGCCATATATATACCATATCTGGTTGGTGGTTTGGAACATTTTTTATTTTTCCATATATTGGGAAAAATCATCCCAACTGACGAACTCATATTTTTCAGAGGGGTTGAAACTACCAACCATATATATATATAATATGGGATGTCATCCTTCCCATTGACGAACTCATATTTTTCAAGATGGTTGAAACCACCAACCAGTACCCTCTGGTAAACTAACATAACTATGGAAAACCACCATTTTTAATGGTTAAACTCACTATAAATGGTTAATAACCAGTTTTGATCTGTTGTGTTAGTTCCAGCGAACCGGGCGAACGAACTTGTGGCAACTTCCATGGAACAGCTCGGGCAGAGATCCGACAGATCGGGTGGACGAGTCTGAACCAAGGAAGATTGACCGAGTCTCTTATGGTCTTCTGGGCAAGAAGCAACTTGAGGCCGATGATTTTTTGGATGGAAAAAAACAACGAAGTGCTTAGTGTTGTGCTTAGTGTTTTTTTTTTTCGTATGTTGCAGATCAAATTCTTTGGTGTACCTATTATATCTATTATATTCTATTATATTATATTATATTACTGTATATTATATGTAGCCAATTAACTATGTGTATACCTACATACATAGGGTGCCCAAGAATTGTTGCAAAAGTTACGACTGCTACCCCTTTTGACTGTGATTTGCTCTTCTCGCTCTTGATGATGGGGGATCTATTCAGGCGAAACCTTGGATAAAAGTTTAAATACTTCCTGGACAAAGTGCTGCAACTTTTTTCTTTGGTTTTCTACTCTTTTGAGCCGGTTGAAACGTTCAGCCCAAAAAATATTGGCTCTTGAATAGCTGAATTAAATGGGTTTATTGGCCCTGAAATAGCGGAGTGAAACCGTTTTTCAAGCAAACAACAGCTGATTTTCAAGACACAGCGAACGCTGTTGAAATAGGCAACGCCACCATGGGCTCAGGTCCAGATTCAGGATGGAAACAGTTACTACACCCCACATTAAAAGCCCGTAAAAATGGGTAAGAGTACTAGTTCATGATGAGATAACATAGCACTTTTGATTAATCGATACTTTCTCAGCAGCTACGTACAGCAAAAACGAATCAGCATTTAGCGACTTTGCAGGGGGATCCATGACACGTTAAGGGAAAAAATCCTTGAAGATCCTCAAACCTTGTTGAGTTGCGGAGGTCTGAGTCTGATCCCGTTTAATATTGTTTTGGTTGAAACAAACCGAGGTCTGATGAGTTTTTATCTTCATTGTTTAACCTTGTGGACAAGGCAACTATGAACCAGTTCACTCTTTCAACAGTTAGTCGAATGCTTTGTTCATTTTTATGCGGACAAATTGTCGCTAGCCAAAGACGTTTTGTTATTTTACGGTTCAGTTTATTTTCGCAAGATATCGGAGCAAGGGGGATTCTCCCAAGTGGATTGCAGCCATACTATGTGAGATTGTTTTAGAAATCATTGGGTTGGTTTAAGGGAAAATCTACTGGGTTTTTTCCATCAAATATAGGGCTTTCCTGTAAATTTTCCCATCATCCAATTCTATGAAGAAAAGGACCTCGGAGATTCTCAATGGGGGGCCTCATGAAAGTTGGATTTTGCCTCGTGGTTACTTGTGTTCCGTGAGATGATGTCCCTCAAAAATCTCAAAAGAGCTCCATGCGGCCAAGGTGGCCAAGGTGGCTGAGTTATTGACACAGTTTTCACAGCCTAAAAACAGACATGATACCTGCGGTTTGAACATTTTTGGCCTGTGAAAAACCATGGGATTCCTATGTTCACATCTTTTTCTGTTCTTTGAGCAAAAAAAAACATGCGGATGGGACAAGTTACCTATGAAATTACCCTCTGGTAATTTAACATAGCTATTGAAAATGGCCATTTATAGTGAGTTTTCCCATGATAAATTGTGATTTTCCATGATTTTCCATAGTTTTTGTATGTTTACCAGAAGGTACCAGGTTACCATATTTTGGGGAACAGACATCCATTCACCCGCCATGACTTGGGCGTGACTCATAGCCACGTGGCATATCTGGATCAGGATGCGGACGAGAAGACTCCCTTCTCACGCTTGGTGATGGCCGTGCCCTTTGTTGGGAAGGTCCTAAGGGACATCTGATGGATCTCTGTTTTTTTTCGGTGTCTGTATAAATATGATAAATGGATGATAAATGGGTTCCGAAGTCATAGGGGTACCAGAAATCATCTAAAGTTCGATCAAGGATTGAAACCGATGGTGACGACTGGAGTACCCCTATGACTTCGGGCCACCCCATGGAGAGCCCCACCCCCAAATATCTTCAATCCTAGTGGACTGTGTTGGATAGTCAGAGTCCAGACACATCCAGACACGCCTGGGATCTCAATCTTTGGGCCAACCTCGTTGAATGGTCGCTGAATGCTGGGGACAATGCATGAAACATGGACTCATCATGACTCATCATGACTCATCAACTAAACATATTGAACACGCAATATATATATATAATATGTATATACACAGTATATAACAGTGTATATATATTTATATATATATATATCGCTCTGAATCTTGCCACGAGATAAAATTCACCGCGTTGGAATCAGAGACTTCAGCATCCCAGATGGTTACGTTCGTAAGTTTCCCAGCTCCAAGCAGTCCAGTGATGTCCAGTGATCCACATCAGGAGGGCTAAGAACCAGACCTTGAAGACTCCGATGACTCCGAGAACTCCTGTCATAAAACATCATAAAACATGATAAACGTATGAAACTTTAACAGTCATTAATATATACAGTATATATATATATATATACAATACATATACATACATTATTAAGGACAAATATTATATATATATATATATTATAAGAAGCATGTACATGTACATTAACAATCATCAACATCAGCCATTCACATACGACATTAGGCCCAGCTTGCGCTGTTGTTTCAGCGCAGGATGTGCCAAGCCGCAGCAGCGAATTTGCGCATCCCGATGTGGCCATTGGCCTCACCATCTTGGCGTATCGCTACGAGGTGCCAAGCCGGGACCCATCGGGACCCGGGACAGGACGATGGCGACAGGCGGTTACGGTTGGTGTGCGATTTCGGGAAACTCAATGTTTTGTAGAGTTTGGCGTTTCAGAAGTTTGTTCAGTTTTTTTGGGGGGGACATATTTCAGATTTGTTTTCGGACATATGTCAGAGGTTTTCAGAGGTTTTGTCAGAACTATGTCAGAAATCTTGGGGGCCATGGATCAGTAAGCTTTGAGAAATCTCGGTCAGATTTTTTCCAGGAAAACTCAAATCTTGACTTATAGAACCTCACTAGACCGGAAAGTCTCAGCACTAGAAAGATTATAGCTTGGAAAATCAAGTAACTTTCCACGTTTGATAAGACCTGAGGCTATGGCAACCCCAAGCAGCGCACGTCCCGAAAAGATGCGGAACAAAGGTGTTTCCAGGATCTATTTATGGCATTGCGATGATCCTGAATAGCTATGAAAAGCTGGAAGTTTGAGATGAATACCCTCTGGTAAACACCCAAAAAATGATGGAACATCACCCTGCTAATGGGAAAATCCACTATTTCGACTGGGCCATTTGAAACAGTTCACCAAACTGTAAACGTTCCTGCAGAGGGGATTCATCATCCATGCCATAATTGAAAGACTTTACCGTACGGATCATCCCATGTGTTTACGGTGGATGTGCGGCCCCCCTGGTGATGTTCGTGGATCATTTTCTCGGGGCCATGACGGATCCTAATGGTGCTGCAATATATGGTGTGCCATGGATCCCATCAATATACCATCAATCTACCCCAGTCATGTTAGCATTAATCTACCAGCACCAGCCGGATCCGTCATGGGTAATGTTATAATGTGAACCCCGGATGAATAAACCATGGTAAACCATCTATTTCGATTGGGGCCATCTATTCCATGGCTACGTTAAATAACCAGAGGCTAAATCAACTATAATGTGAACCCCGGATTTTGCTAAACCATGGTTTATGAAAATTAGGGGGGTACTCCTCCAATAGTCATTTCATCCAATACTGAAATGGTACCCACCCGATTAAACAGCCGTAAACGGGGTTTATTAATCCAGGGTTGACATTAATGTGGTTAAAACAATGTCGTAAACCAGCCATTTGGGAATGGTTTATACCACTATTTATGGTGATGAAAGGGGGATTGTTTATTATTGTTGCAATGTCATTTTTACCACCCATGACTGGGAATGGTAAACATGCCACCTATAAGAATGGTGATGACTGGGGGATGGTTTATGGCATTGTTTTACCAACAGTATACTTTGCATAGGTTATCGGTTTGTCACAAGGGTACACAAGGGAATCTCATGCTTGATCATCATTTTCCCTGGCCACACAAGCATTTTTATTCCGAGGAACCCACATTTTTCCTCCGAATGCCAGATTCCGGCCATTCCTGAAACCACAGGGAGAATTCTACTGGCCCAATCAAAACTGATCACCGGAGAAGGGGAACCTTGTCCTCAACATACCAATAGTAATATATATATATATATGTATATTATTACATTATATGATATTATCTTATGTTATTTTATATTATATTTCATTATATTATCTTATGTTATGTTATATTAAGTTATTTTATATTATCTTATGTTATTTTATATTATATTACATTATATTATCTTATGTTATGTTATATTATGTTATTTTATATTATCTTATGTTTCTTTTTTTATATTATATTACATTATTATCTTATCTTATGTCATATTATGTTATTTGATATTATCTTATGTTATTTTATATTATATTACATTATTATCTTATGTTATGTTATATTATGTTATTTTATATTATCTTATTATCTTATGTTATTATATATTATATTACATTATATGATATTACCTTATGTTATTTTATATTATATTTCATTATATTATCTTATCTTATGTCATATTATGTTATTTGATATTATCTTATGTTATTTTATATTATATTACATTATATTACCTTATGTTATGTTATATTATGTTGTTTTATATTATGTTATTTTATATTATCTTATGTTATATTATCAAAGGAAGTTGGGAAGCAATTTCCGAGTTACGAATGACTTTTTACTTGGTGCAATTGACTATGATGAAGGGTGGTAGATCCTGTAACAATACATAATGTACCAATACATCACAAACCAATAAGAAGCAATGAAATTGACCTTGAGGAAGGGTGGTAGATCATATAACAATACATAATATAACAATACATAATATAACAATACATAACAAAAGAATAAGAAGCTATGAAATTGACCTTGAGGAAGTGATGATGAAGGGGAGTGGTGACGAAGGGAAGTGGTGAGGAAGGGAAGTGGTGAAGAAGGGAAGTGGTGACGAAGGGAAGCGGTGAAGAAGGGAAGTGATGATGAAGGGGAGTGGTGACGAAGGGAAGTGGTGACGAAGGGAAGTGGTGACGATGGGAAGTGGTGACGAAGGGAAGTGGTGACGAAGGGAAGTGGTGACGATGGGAAGTGGTGACGAATGGTGACGATGGGAAGTGGTGAGAAGGGAAGTGGTGACGAAGGGAAGTGGTGACGAAGGGAGGTGGTGACGATGGGAAGTGGTGACGATGGGAAGTGGTGAGGAAGGGAAGTGGTGAGTTGGGGAGGAAGCCGGAGCACGAAACCTTGTGAAAGTACCTCGTGTGTGCGACGGGTGCGGCTGGGGTCGGTTGGTCGTTTTTTTTTTGCCGCAGTGTAACGGTGGCTTGAAGCTGCTTTGGGTGTGCTTGTGTGTGCGTAGTTATAGTGTGTTTTGGAATCTCCGGTTGCAGATCGCATTGGAATGGCTGCATGATGTTGCATGGGCTATGTTTTGGGGAGGAAGCCGGAGCACGAAACCTTGTGTTTTTCCGTGTAAAGTGGCTGCAGGCGACGATGAAAGGTACCTCGTGTGTGCGACGGTTGCGGCTGCGGTCGGTTTATCGTTTTTTTTTTGCCGCAGTGTCACGGTGGCTTCAAGCTGCTTTGGGTGTGCTTGTGTGTGCGTAGTTATAGGGCGTTTTGGAATCTGTGCTTGCAGATCGCATTGGAATGGCTGCATGATCTTGCATGGGCTCTGTTTTGGGGAGGAAGCCGGAGCACGAAACCTTGTGTTTTTCCGTGTAAAGTGGCTGCAGGCGACGATGAAAGGTACCTCGTGTGTGCGACGGTTGCGGCTGCGGTCGGTTTATCGTTTTTTTTTTGCCGCAGTGTCACGGTGGCTTCAAGCTGCTTTGGGTGTGCTTGTGTGTGCGTAGTTATAGGGTGTTTTGGAATCTGTGCTTGCAGATCGCATTGGAATGGCTGCATGATGTTGCATGGGCTCTGTTTTGGGGAGGAAGCCGGAGCACGAAACCTTGTGTTTTTCCGTGTAAAGTGGCTGCAGGCGACGATGAAAGGTACCTCGTGTGCGACGGTTGCGGCTGCGGTCGGTTTATCGCTTCAAGCTGCTTTGGGTGTGCTTGTGTGTGCGTAGTTATAGGGTGTTTTGGAATCTGTGCTTGCAGATCGCATTGGAGTGGCTGCGTCAAGGTTGCTTGCCGCCGCGGCTGCATGCGTAATACTATTGTCTTTTGCAGCTGAAGATTGTAAATCGTATTGGAGTGGCTGCATCCAGGCTGCGATAGTCAATTGTCAGCAGATTTTCCCAATTTTGGCGCTAATAATTTTCCTTTTAAAATTCCTTTTAAAAAGTGCTTCAAAATCGTCTTTTTTTCACTTTGGCGTCGAGATCCATCCGGTTTTGGAGCTGCAATTTCCGACGCCATTGCACGTAGTTCTATTGTGTTTTGCAACTCAGTCTCTGCAGATCGCATTGGAGTGGCTGCGTCAAGGTTGCTTGGTGCAGCGGCTGCATGCTTAATACTATTGTCTTTGGAGGGCTAATTATTTTAGGAATTTTTTTTGATCAGGTTTAGGAATTATTTTTGGATTCCTGCTTCTCTGCTTTTCCTGCTTTTCCTGCTTTCCTGCTTTTCCTGCTTTTCCTGCTTCTCTGCTTTTCTGCTTTTTTGCTTTTCTGCTTCTCCTGCTTCTCGCCTTTTCTGCTTTTTTGCTTTTCTGCTTCTCCTGCTTCTCTGCTTCTCTGCTTTTCTGCTTTTTTGCTTTTCTGCTTCTCCTGCTTCTCTGCTTCTCTGCTTTTCTGCTTTTTTGCTTTTCTGTTTTTCCTGTTTCTTTGCTTCTCTGCTTTTCCTGCTTTTCCTGCTTCTCTGCTTTTCTGCTTTTCCTGCTTCTTTGCCTTTCTGCTGTTTTGCTTTTGTGCGTTTCCTGTTTCTTTGCTTCTCTGCTTTTTTGCTTCTCTGCTTTTTTGCTTTGCCTGCTTTAAATACTTGATTTTCATGTAAGATGCATTTTGCACAGTATTTACATCCCTGAGTATCACATGACCAACCTTCTCTTGAAAACTTGCAACGTAACATGTGAGAAGAGGTGCTTGCATTCTGCTTTGGGGGGAGGCGCTGCGCCCTCCCCCCAATCCCCCCCTCCCGCTTTTTTTTTATTTAAACTTAAACCCAAGTTACATTAGTTGGTTTTTGCGAACTAACCTTCTCTGGAAAGCTGACAGGATTACATGTGATAGATAGATAGATAGATAGATAGATAGATAGATAGATAGATAGATAGATAGATAGATAGACAGACAGATAGATAGATAGATAGATAGCTGGATAGATAGATAGCTTGGTAGATAGATAGCTCGATAGATAGATAGCCAGCTAGATAGATAGATAGCTAGAGAGATAGATAGCTAGATACCTGGATAGATAGATGGCTAGATAGATAGCTAGATAGATAGATAGCTAGATAGATAGCTAGCTAGATGGATAAAGAGGTAGCTAGATAGATAGCTAGATAGATAGATAGATAGCTAAATAGATAGGCAGATAGTTAGCCAGATAGATAGATAGCTAGATAGATAGCTCGTTAGCTAGATAGCTGGATAGACAGCTGGATGGCTAAATAGATAGATAGCTAGATAGATAGAAAGCTAGATAACTAGATAGCTAGATAGATAGTTAGCTAGATAGCTCGATAGCTAGATAGCTGGATAGACAGCTGGATGGCTAGATAGATAGATAGCTAGATAGATAGAAAGCTAGATAGCTAGATAGCTAGATAGCTAGATAGCTAGATAGCTAGATAGTAGTAGCTAGATAGCTAGATAGGTAGATAGATAGCTAGCAAGATAGCTAGCTAGATAGGTAGATAGATAGATAGATAGATAACTTGCTAGATAGATAGCTAGCTTGCTAGATAGATAGCTAGCTTGCTAGATAGATAGCTAGATAGCTAGCTAGCTGGATAGATAGCTAGCGCCCTCCCTCAATCCCCCCCACCCGCTTTTTATCTAATCCCAAGCTTCCGCATCTGTAAATATTTGGGTGAACATGCTCACATGTAGAACATCCCATGCAAAATGGAAGGTGAACATGCCAAAATGTGGCAAATACCATACAAAATGGAAGGTGAACATGCCCACATGTAGGAAATCCCATGCAAAATGGAGGGTGAACATGCCAAAATGTGGCAAATACCATACAAAATGGAAGGTGAACATGCCCACATGTAGTTATTCCCATGCAAAATGGAAGGTGAACATGCCCAAATGTGGCAAATACCATGCAAAATGACAAATTCAAGTTCCAAACCGTTGCAAACACTAGGCAAATGGTACCAGCCAAGAAATCCAAAAAAAATTCCCAAACCTGTTGAAAAAAAAATCCTAAAACTATTTCACACCCATTGTCTTTTGCAGCTGAAGATTGTAAATCGTATTGGAGTGGCTGCATCCAGGCTGCGATAGTCATTTGTCAGCAGATTTTCTCAATTTTGGCGCTAATAATTTTCCTTTTAAAATTCCTTTTAAAAAGTGCTTCAAAATCGTCTTTTTGTCGCTTTGGCGTCGAGATCCGGTTTTGGAGCTGCAATTTCCGACGCCATTGCACGTAGTTCTATTATTGTGTTTCGCAACTCAGTCTCTGCAGATCGCATTGTAGTGGCTGCGTCAAGGTTGCTTGGTGCAGCGGCTGCATGCGTAATACTATTGTCTTTTGCAGCTGAAGATCGTCAATCGTATTGGAAAATGGCTGCATCAAGGCTGCGAAAGTGATTTGTCAGCAGATTTTCTCAATTTTGGGGCTAATAATTTTCCTTTTAAAATTCCTTTTAAAAAGTGCTTCAAAATCGTCTTTTTGTCGCTTTGGCGTCGAGATCCAGTTTTGGAGCTGCAATTCCTGTTGTGATTATGTACAAGAAAGCTTCTCTGTGCAAAAACTTTTTCTGTAAAAGCTTGCTGTGTGTAAAAGCTTCTCTGTGTGTAAAAGAGTCTCGGTGTAAAAGTTTCTGTGTGTGTAAACGCTTGCCATGTGTAAAAGCACTGTGCGTAAGTGTTCTGTGTGTAAACGCTTGCTGTGTGTGAAAGCTTGCTGTGTGTAAAAGCTTCTCTGTGTAAAAGCTTGTTGTGTGTAAAAGCTTCTCTGTTTAAAAAGTTTGCTGTGTGTGTAAACGCTTGCCATGTGTAAAAGCACTGTGTGTAAGTGTTCTGTGTGTAAACGCTTGCTGTGTGTGAAAGCTTGCTGTGTAAAAGCTTCTCTGTGGAGAAGCTTGCTGTGTGTGAAAGCTTGCTGTGTAAAGCTTCTCTGTGTAAAAGCTTGTTGTGTGTAAAAGCTTCTCTGTTTAAAAAGCTTGCTGTGTGTGTAAACGCTTGCCATGTGTAAAAGCACTGTGTGTAAGTGTTCTGTGTGTAAACGCTTGCTGTGTTTGAAAGCTTGCTGTGTGAAAAAGATTTTGCGTGTAAAAGCTTGCTGTGTGTAAAAGCCTCTCTGTGTGTAAAAGCGTCTCTGTGCAAAAGTTGCTGTGTGTAAACGGTTGCCATGTGTAAAAGCACTGTGTGTAAGTGTTCTGTGTGTAAACGCTTGCTGTGTGTGAAAGCTTCTCTGTGAAGAAGCTTGTTGTGTGTAAAAGCTTCTGTGTGTAAAAGCTTCTCTGCTTGAAAAGCTTGCTGTGTGTAAAAGCTTCTCTGCGAAAGAACTTGATGTGTGTAGAAGCTTTGTAGTACAAAGTAGTACTGGAACGTGTTTTGTGCAAGCTTTGTAGTACAAAGTAGTACTGGGAAGTAGTTTGTGCAAGCTTTGTAGTACAAAGTAGTACTGGGGAGTGCTTTGTGCAAGCTTTGTAGTACAAAGTAGTACTGGGAAGTAGTTTGTGCAAGCTTTGTAGTACAAAGTAGTACCGGGGAGTGCTTTGTGCAAGCTTTGTAGTACAAAGTAGTACTGGAACGTGTTTTGTGCAAGCTTTGTAGTACAAAGTAGTACTGGGAAGTGTTTGTGCAAGCTTTGTAGTACAAAGTAGTACTGGGAAGTGCTTTGTGCAAGCTTTGTAGTACAAAGTAGTACTGGGAAGTACAAAGTAGTACTGTGTTTGTGCAAGCTTTGTAGTACAAAGTAGTACTGGGAAGTGTTTTGTGCAAGCTTTGTAGTACAAAGTAGTACTGGGAAGTTTGTGCAAGCTTTGTAGTACAAGTAGTACTGGGAAGTGTAAGCTTTGTAGTACAAAGTAGTACTGGGAAGTGTTTTGTGCAAGCTTTGTAGTACAAAGTAGTACTGGGAAGTGCAAGCTTTTGTAGTAGACATCAGTACTGGGAAGTACTTGACATAAAAATAGCCAAGAAGAACTTAGCTGACATATGGGAAGACATGGAATGAGATGAGAAGAGCTCAGATGAGATGAGTTGAGATGAAGTGCAAGTGTGAAGTGTGGAGTGTGGGGTGTGAAGAGTGCAATGTGAAGTGTGAGGAAAGTGTTTGCATTGTACCGGGGTCGCGCGCAGGTCATGTTCTTGGACAGCAACACTGCAACAGCTTCGCACAAAGCACGCACGCACGGGCCTGGCTGGCGCACGGCGCATGCAAGTTCCTTAGCAGTAGTACTGGGAAGTGATTCATGAAAGCTTATAGGTGACATATGAGAAGAGACGAGATGAGAAGAGATGAGCTGGGATAAGGTGAGAAGAGCTCAGATGAGATGAAGTGTGGAGTGTGAAGAGTGCAGTGTGAAGTGTGGGGCGCGAAGAGTGCAGTGTGAAGTGTGGAGTGTGAAGAAAGCAATGAGAAGTGAGAAGTGTGAAGTGTGAAGTGTGCAGTGTGGAGTGTGAAGAGTGCAGTGAGAAGTGTGAAGGGCGAAGTGGAGCTTCAAATGTGACATGTGAAACAGGACACCACTTTCGCAGAGTGCACGCACGCACGGGCTTGGCTGGCGCACGGCGCATGCAAGTTCTATAGATGAGAAAGGTCTTTTATATATCTTTAAGGCAACTTCCGCCCCGCCTCGTGCGGGTACTACTGGTATATTGTGGTATACATAATATATGTATATAATTCAAAATCTCATCGGGTCGTTTTTTTGGTGAAGTCAATATTTTCGTTGAAAACTCAATGGGGATCCCCTGGGGTCAACACATTCCCTCATTGGCTCATGGGGGTTTCATGGGGGTTTCCGAAGTCTACCGGGCTACCCCAAGATTGGATGGTCATGGAAAAAACCCATCTAAATGGATTTAGAATGGATTTAGTAGGGCCCTATGACGCCTTGGAAACCGAGAGTTTTCCATGAAATTTTCGTATTTTTTTCGCTTTTTCCATCATCCAAAAGAATGCCATAAAATGTAGATGTATGAGACATACAAGGGTAATTTACATAAATTTTTAGATCCAACTTGAAAATTGGATCTTTCGTTTTCCTAGGGTCATCATCTCGAAATCCAAACATCTTTCCCTGGGAATGATGGAAATGTCATGAAATCGCCATCGAATTCCCAGGGGGATTAAACAAAAGAAGATTATCAGGGGTTGGTATATTTCTTCTGGGGATATTTCTTCTCCAGATACTTGTTTTAGTATGCTTTAGTGATGTTCAAAATCTCCAAAACAGGACATTTCCCAAGTCCCTGAGATCGTCATCCCCCAGCCGAAATCGCGAGGGTTTGCGCCCCAGCGATGTGCGAAGCATCGTGGCGCAGCTCAAACAGGCCATGGACGCCATGGCGGCTTCGTATCCAGGGAACCCCGCAGGGTTAGTGGTGAAAGAACATGTTGGTTCCTATGATGTCAGTAAAGGAATGGGATCCACTGATCCACCCATTCTTTTTCAATTTACCATCTGGGATTGATACCATCCCCAAATAAATCCAAAGATAGGCAATGATACTAGGACAACCGACTGGATGGGTAGAAACAATACCTTTAATCTCGTGCGATTTCAAATATTTCAATAGGAATATCTACTCACCAGCTCACAATTCTTAGTTTTTGTGTATCTAAGATTGGCAATGGTTAAAGAACATGTTTTCCACGGTGATACAGGTAAAGAATGGTAGATACTGTAGATATACCCATACCATCCTATACCTAGACCCTGCGTTTGCACCCTTAAAACTGGCTGTTTTTACCCAAGAATGAAGTACGGTTGTCTTTCTCTTGGTGGTATTTGGAGGATCTAGGTAGACAGAAATCGGAGTATACCATGGTAATTATACCCAATGACACACCAAACAACGATGGCAATTTGTTTGGAAACGGCTTTCATAACTAAAGTACGGGTGATTTTCGTTGACTTTTATCCAGTCATATACACACATCTCAATTTGCCAGAGGGGACTCTTCCCCAAAGAGACCACACCTGAGACATGGAAAAATGGTCTGGCAAGTAATCTTAGACATGGCGTTTTGCCCCATCATTTTCGTTACTTACTTTTACCCTCTGGTTATTTAACATAGCCATGGAAAATGGCCCATTTATACTATATAGATGGTTTACCTATTAAAAATGGTGATTTTCCATGGCTATGTTAGTCATAACCAGATGGTACATACTTTTGCCTTTTTTGTTGTGTTTTTTCACGGAAGGTCAAAGGTATCTGATCTTATTTGGGAATCGATCAGTTCAGTTTTTTTAAAAAAATACCTGGTTGGTGGTTTAACATATTCTGAATAAGATCCAATACCAACAATACCTGCTTGGTTGGTTTACCATTAATAGTTTTAATACCTGGTTGGTGGTTAACCCTATACTTTTTTTGGATGACTCTCCGGACATATTCGGACATATTCTTCAGGGGGATGCTCTAACCAGCAACCAGTAATCTTCCAGACACCATCCAGTAAACTAACATACGGTGGATGGAAGAAATCCTGCACCAGTTGATAGGTGGTTTATCCCATTATCTATAGGGGTTCAACCATCCAAGGTGGTGCAGGATTTCTTCCATCCACAGTAGATATAGAACATCACCATTTTTCAACAGATAAATCATCGAACAAAATAGGCCCCTTTCATCCACTTCCCTACCTTTTTTGGGGGTCAACATCCATATAGTCATCCATATTAAATTAGTAATCCCCAAAAATTGATAGAACAAGTGAATTTACCACCACTTTTGGATTGGATTTTGTGAATTCCCAGCATGTTCGAATGAGATTTGACCAGCGCCAGGATTGCGCTCGACAGCTGGGACCACGAGATACGCGGCCGGCACATGTGCTGTTCGAATCCTGGGTTAGACAGGACAGATGGGAGCCTTGGATGACTTGGATGCGGGCCCCACTTAGCCATAATTTGAACCCCGGATGAATAAACCATGGTAAACCATCTATTAATGGGCCATCTATTCCATGGCTACGTTAAATAACCAGAGGGTAAATCAACTATAATGTGAAATAACCAGAGGGTAAATCGATGAATATAGTGCTTAAAGGCTTATAGTGAAATAATAGTGAAATTTCTGGTGAACTATATTAACGATAGTTAAATTAATAGTGAATAATATGGTTATATCCAAACGAACAGTGAAATTAACCATGGTTTATGAATTAGGGGGGTACTCATCCAATAGTCATTTCATCTGATACTTAAATGGTACCTTCCCAATTAAACAGCCGTAAACGGGGTTTATTAATCCAGGGTTGACATTAACCCATTGATAAATTGGTGATAATTCATGGTGAAGTTGTTGATATTGGTTATACCCTTTTTACCCTTTTTACCCTTTTTTAGTTCATTGTTAATGTATGGCTGGAGGAATAAATCATCCACACGCCATATGTAATTCTACATTTAACTGGGGATATCCCATGAATCTAATACTTATATAACTGGGGTATTTCATATGGGTGAAAGTTGGGTTCAATGGTTTACAATCCACTAATATAAGCCATATAGGATTACTGTGTATATATTATATAATAATAATATCAATAATAATAATAATCATAATCATAAGAATAATAATAATCATAAGAATAGTAATAATAGTAATAATAGTAATAATAGTAATAATCTAATAATAGTAATAATAGTAATAATAGTACTAATAGTAATAATAGTAATAATAGTAATAATAGTAATAATAGTAATAATAATATAATACAGATCGGGATATTCCCTATGTATATACATATACATATGTTACATATATATATATATAAAAGAGAAGAGCAAAACCCAAACTTGGGCAATGATACAAACAGTTCACCTTGGAAGGGTAGAAACTCATGCTTGAGTTTTTTTGCTATCAATGGAACATAAGAAAATAACCAGCAAAATCCAGCAAAAGATGACTTAAAGATTACTTAGTTTTTGTGGATTACCAAAGATTGACCATGGATAAGGCTAAAGCCAGCAAACATCTATAAACATCCGGAATTGGGCAAGAAATGGGGATTTGTTGCTGAATTTGACCACCCACACCAGCAAGAATGGGTAAATGTGTGGCTTGTTGAATGGTAAGAGATTGATTTTTCAATGTTTTCATGGTGAGGATTTTATTCAGATCTCCAATTATAAGTGGACATTGCCCCTATTCACCCTCCTGAATCAACTGGGGTTACAACCCACTTACGATTCCTGCGAAACTATTGCCACCAGGTGTTCTCCCTACTTTTCGTGGTTACCCTCTGGTAAACATACAAGAAACGAGCTGGAAAATCACCATGCTATGATAAATCAACTATTTCTATGGGCCATTTGAAACAGAAACATAGCAAACTGTCAGCTTACTATTATGGCCCATAGAAAATAGCTTACTAATAATAAACTGACAGTTTGGTATGTTTATCCGTTAATTTATTTCAATAGCAATCTGAGGGTATGTCCTGTTGATGATTGTCGCCTTGGTTTTTTCGATTTTCAGGAGGAACCGGGGAGCCCAAGACACAAGATGAGACGGTTGGATGAAGACATCTCGCAGACACTTGGTTCGCCAGAAGAACTTCCGCCAGGAACACAAAGAATCGTCATCTCCCGGATGGTTGATATAGAGTCTTATCGGCTTTTCTTGGTAAGGGGATGGTTAATATAGATCCCATAGGATCCATGTATGGTATATATGCTAACATTTGGGGTATATTGATGGTAAAATATGGTAAATGTTACCATATATAGCATACATGGATCCTATGGGGATGTTCATAGACTTTTCCGGGATGGTAGATGCTTTGCCACTTAAGATCAATTGACTAGTAACTAGATGCATCTACACACACACACACCAAAACGAAAAAGATGTTGATTTCCCATAGCCCTTTTTCCTTCCCCAAGGGTTGTTCCTGGGAACATGATGGGTGAATCAGCCCTGACGTCAACAGGGTTGCCTGTTGCGACTGTTGCCTGTTGCCTGCCTTGAGAGGTTTCTAACCTTTGGCCCCCCTGCATGAATGACCAGGGTTGTTTACTCTCTGGTAATCAAACAACTATAAACAATTTCAATGGAACATCCTGAAAATCCATCATTTATCCAACATTGATCAATCATTTATAGATGATTTTCGCACCATTTATAGTGGATTTGACGTTGCCACAGCCACATGGACGTGAGCCTATGGATGGCTTCCTTGTCCCACCGTGACAGCTAGATAGATAACAGTAACGATTTGATAGATACATAGATAGATTAGACTAGACTAGACTAGACTAGACTAGACTAGACTACACTAGATAGATAGATAGATGACTTGTTCTATTGAAAATCATGCTTTCCATTGCCAGTTCATGAGGTCACCTATATGCCCCAAGCTCTTGGCCCAGGAATATTTTGCCACTCTCCTTGTTTCAACCGGCAGATCAGAAATTCGGCAGATGTTGTGTGTGTTTTTTTGTGGGGAGTTGGCTGGGAGTTGGGCATTTTGAAGGTTCATCATGGTTCATCTTTGTGTTCACTCAAAGATATGAAAGAGTTGGTGACCTGCGGATTCACAGCAGTGCATTTTGAGTGACTGGATTCGCTGAGGGTCTCAGGGTTGACAGCCTGCATCCCATAAATGGTTGGGACCCTGAGGGACCCTGGTTGGGATATATCATGATATATCATCATGTCCAGTGTCCAGCTCCAAGAAAGGCTGGCTATCTGAGATTCTACATCGCCACTGAGGAAGCAACAAGCACGCTTGTACCGTCAAATTCAGGGCCTTCACTCCGTTTGTCATTTCTGGCTGCGGCAGCACGTCTTTCCAGCGCCTGGGACTCCTGGGAGACCTGGAAATTGATGACTTATCTTATCCTTTTCCCATCTTTTCCCCCCAAAAAATTGTATTTGAAATACTATAATGTCAACCCCGGATTTTGCTAAACCATGGTTTATGAAAATTTTGGGGGTACCATCCAAATAGTCACTTTATATGATACATAAATGGTATTCCCCCCCAATTAAACAACCGTAAACGGGGTTTATTAATCTGGGGTTGACATTACCATCCCAGTTGATCCACTGGAATTGTACTGGATCTCTTTAATCCACTGGGGCCTATCGACTGGGTCTAGCGACGATCCGGGTCCTGAGGTCCCAACATCCAACACGGAATCACACCGAAACTCTTCACAGAAACTAAGCGCAACTCTGTAGCTTTAGTCTATTACTTTCTGGTGCTTAGCAGGGAATGGATGGGAATGGGGGCTGCTGGGATGATTATTTCCTAGTGATGACTGGGATCATTCCCTCATTCCCTACTAAGCACCAGTAAGATTATAGCTGGTTGGTGGTTTCAAACATTTTTTATTTTCCATTTCATATATGGGATGTCATCCTTCCCATTGACTTACTCATATTATCTCATATTTTTCAAGATGGTTATTGCACCACGAACCAGTTATAGTCTAGTCTATTACCCTCTGGTAAACTGTTACATAACTATGGAAAATCACCATGCTATTAATGGGAAAATCCACTATTTCAATGGCCATTTTCAATAGCTACGTTAAATTACCAGAGGGTAATGTTTTTTTCAAAGCTCATGGCCTCCAGACTTGGAACCGAGGTCACCATGAACTTTCATCCCTTGAAGATCTCTGCGAGTGACTTGGGATTTTTTTTGGGATCCCGGACCTGGCCATGCTGGCTGGGTTTCCCCAAGGAACGGTACACCCCGAAACGAAACAAAAAACGTGGTGGAATCCTCCAAACACAAAAATATGGGGATGGGTCAATACCTATTAGTATCAATTTTAATGGGATGAACATCCATAAATCCCAGCTATTTTGATGTGAACTACAGGGGTACAAGGTTTTGACACACTGCCATATGTTGCATTTTCCAATCATTTTCCAATCTTTGGCTGACTCGGATTCTTCTAGTGGTGGACGTTCACTGTAAAACACACACACTTTTTTAACCAATTGGAATGGGGGTGTTCAATACGGGATATTTTATACGGGATGGGATCAGCAAAAAACGAATAGTCAGGCAGCTTTGATGTCGGCGATGAGATTATCAACATCTGTTTTGTTGTACTACTAGTAATACTGTATATTATGTGTATAAATATATCTATCTATCTATCTATCTGTCTGTCTATCTATCTATCTATCTATCTATTTGTATGTATATATATATTATCTTGATTCTAGTCCCGAACTCTATTGACCGTATATAATTTGAATTTCCTCTTGGCCATGGCTAGTTACTTTGTTGTGTATGCTCTTTGTCCGAAAGACATTCTTTGAGTGATAAGCACATTTTCCCAAACGGTCACTGTTTGGGTTCCTTGGGTTCCTTGGGTTCCTTGATCGAAGCAAAGAGTACCCGCCAAAAATCTCACCCCGATGGCCTTGATGGCCTTGCTAAGCCATACGTGTTGAGGCCGCTGCCATTTTCAAGACATTTCTGTTGACAGTTTAAGTCTTCAGATTTTCCAGTCACCTTTCTGGCAACTCAAATGCCACCAGTTGATCATGTTTCTTACCCTCTGGTTATGTCAAACAGTTCGCTATTGAAGTCATGGCATGCCATGGCCCATTGCAAATAGTGACCGAACTGAAAGATGGTGATTTTCCGTAGCTTTTTGGATCTACCAGAGGGTCTCCATGTTTCCACAGAGTCTGCAATTTTCGATCCCAAGGCGGCCATGAGTTGGGCTCCTCGCTGTTGTTTGGCTATCGCCTTGGCTTCAGTGGAACGCCCAGCAACCTGCTACCCCAGGCGCAGCGATTCACCAAACATGGTGATTTTCCATGATTTTCCCATAGCCCCATAGCCCACATCCCATAGCGATCAAGTTAAGATATGCCAAAGGCGGTTTTTGTCAATCATCAAATGTGCCTTTTTTTCCTCAGTGGGCTTTTGAATGGGTTTGAAGCAAAGGGATAAAGTGCTGGATCGGAATCATTCCGATCTCATCCAGCTGCCGAGGAAATCGCAGTTCTTTTACATATGGTATGACAGTCTCATATCTAGCAAGAGTAAACCATTGGGAATTGTATGGAAGCACCCATTCTAGATATTTCTAGATCATATATGATAACATATGATAATATATTATATATGATAATATATTATATCAAAATATATACAATTTATGATAATATATGATAATATATATATATGATGATACATGACAATATTACCCTTCTGTAGTCAAAAGTGGCAATGGAAAATGGTCGATTTACAGATGATTTTATCAGCTAACTAAACCTTCATTTCTAGGGGATTTGCCATGGCTACGTTTTATTACCGGAGAGTATCGTTTGTAGCTTAGAAGATGGTTGCCATGTCTGGAGGCTTGGGCTAAAAATCATGAGATCCGACAGTTGAACACCTGAATGTTCTGGGGTATTTCGCACATCATCATCCTGAAAAACACTATTCCTCTTACCTGGGACCTCCGGGAAAAAAAACATGAAGGAATTGCATATCCCATTCACAAGATATTGACATCTTTGAATTCATGATTTTCTATGACCCGTGTTGTCCATTGTTTATTTCACTTCAATAGGATACCGATCGGCGCAATTTTGGCCTGGTTGGCCAGAAAATCTCAATTCGCGGATGTTGTTCCTCTGTGTTCGGGCAAACATGTGCATGTTCGGATTGCCAGGCTAGATTACCAAAGAGGGCATCCCATCTTGTTTTGTGAATCCCCTTTTCTATTTTTTCCAATGGTTGCAGTAACATTTTGCTCAATGGATAGATTTTAAAGACATGAAATTGAATTGTTCAATGCTTACTTCCTGATGCTCACGGACTCAAGACTCCATTTTTCAATTTTGAAATCCAACTTGTCAATGCTTAATCCCCATTTTCACGGGCCAAATCTTCACTTTTAATCATGACACTCCTAAGTTGAGATTATTTTTCCACCAAACATCCAATGAGGCATATAATGACTCCAATCATTTCAAAATATCATCCATGTTTGAAGGATTTTCATATGGATTTTCCATGAAATCAATTGAAATAAGGCGAGATTTCGGGCTACCCCCATGACTTACTTGGTGGATCATCCCACGAATCGTAAGTAGCTTAGTTCACCCTGGTGATGTGGGATCAGTCGGGTGGATTTCCACTGAAAAAGTTGGGGTGAAGTAACCTACGTACGATTCGTTGGATGATCCACCAAGTATGGTTTCACAGGGATCAAATGGGATACTCAGGGGATAATCATATGATAATGGACAGTTTTGAAATGGATCTGGAGATGGATTTAGCATCGAGATTTTGGAGCCCCATGACTTACCCTCTGGTAATTTAACGTAGCTATTGAAAATGGCCATTTATAGTGAATTTTCCCATTAAAACATGTGATTTTCCATAGTTATGTTAGTTTACCAGAGGGTAGGAGATCCCCAATTTCCCAACGTTTCTCCACGTCCTTCAGGACCTGGGCGAATGTTTCTACGAGCCCGGCAGCGACGGACAGGTGACCCGGGTCTTGACCGATAGCGCCGTGACCACGGCTGAGGCGCCAGCTCGGTGGTTTCTGGGGAGTCAGTACAAGCTTCGTAAACATACAAAAAATTATGGAAAATCACCATTGTTAATGGGAAAACTCACTATTTCTATAGTAATTTTCAATAGCTATGTTAAATTTGTGAAAAATCCCATATGCTCCATGTATGGTATATTTACCTACATTTCGGTGATTTTTAGGGCAAATGTTGGCAAATATTCCAGCACCATGGAGCATATGGGATTGGATCCGTCCCCAAATTTACCAATGATTTTTTTGGTGCGACAAAAATCACCCAAAAAAAGGCTGGTTACCCATATTGCTTCACTGGCATGAATGAAAAAAAAACTAAAGTGATGTTAATTGGCAGGGGTTGATGTCAGTTGGGGGATAGCATGATCCTTGTTTTTTTTGATCCATCATCCCCTTCCGTTATTTAGCGAGGTGTTTTTGTTTTTCCTTGGATGATCCGTGACGATCCCTGAAATTCATCTCATCCCCCACTCTAATATTAGTTGCACCCCCATAAACAATGGTAAAAAGTATAGGGGATTTATAATATATGAATTATACCTTTTTTACACCATAAACCATGGGGATGTTGGGTTTTTTTCTCGCGGACGGGAGTGCAAAAATCAAGGAATCCCATCACTTTCCCACGTTTTCCCATGATTTTCCCATGGTTTCAGGGTGACAACGGCAGGGTTTTCCACCAGCTCCCTATATCTCGCAACGCCAGCAACGCCAGGTCTGTGCAGCAGATTGGAGCCCCAGTGGATTGCTGTCGCGTGTGGCTGAAGGATCTTTCCACGCCTTGATCGACACAGGCGAAACATCGGGATGACGTAGGATCTTGATATCCTCTGGTAATTTAACATAGCTATTGAAAATGGCCATTTATAGTGGATTTTTCCATTGAAAATGGTGATTTTCCATAGTTATGTTAGTTTACCAGAGGGTATATTTTTAAATTGTTCTGAAAACCTCCCTTTACAATTTTAGTAAGGGCCTTGTGATAACGAGTTTGGCGTAAGCAAAACCCTCACTTGCGTGACTTGCGTAAGGCCGCGCAAGGACTTCGCGGAAGGGCTTCCTCAAATGGAGATTCAGGATTACTATACAGATATATAATATTATATAATATGATATATATATATACTGTATATATATAAAATACACATATGCCTAGACCCTCCGTTTGTACTGTTATGAAAATGGTGGTTTACATTGTTTCAGCCCATACTTCACTCGTACTTTTGCCATTTCTTAGGGGTATTTTTTTAGAGTCACACATCACATGTCCCTAAACTCCCTCGCTGCCACCTGGCAGGTGCTTTGATTACCAACATGGATAATGAACAGGTTCGGATCCCTGTGGGCGAGATAAATGCAGAAAGTGCAGAAAGTGCTGTCCCTCTGGTTATTTAACGTAGCTCTGGAAAATCACCATTGTTGATAGGTATATCATCATGAATCATCTATAAGTACTATAAGCTGGCCATTTTCCGCTGTGAAATAACCAGAGGCTACATCTTTCGGTAATCAAACATCATCTACAAACCGGCTATTTTGTATTTTCATCCATAGCTATGTCAAATTCTCAGAGGACAAAAACATTTTTTGGCTTATCAAACGCGGGGAAATATCCTGGAAATGGCCACCAGAATCCCTTTCCCCCATGAACAATATGGTTCATCAACATGTATATATATATACATTATACATACATTCATTACATTTAATATGTACATACATTACATTTAATCTATACATACATATATTTGATGTATATTATATATATATTATAGTTATGTATGTATATATATATTATAGTTATGTATGTATATATATATATATTATAGTTATGTATATATATATATATTATAGTTATGTATATATATATTATAGTTATGTATATATATATATATATCATAATATGGTGTTATTCAAAAGTTTTATAACCGTGATATTGATTATTTGGTGTATATATATAAATGTATACACGGTGATGAGATATGCTGATTATATTATTACTCAACAACTACATCCATATATATATATATATATTATAGGAATATACATTAGATGATGATTCGATCTGCATTTTTGCAGTCGTCTCGCCACAACCTCCGGTGCTTCCTCTCCATGTTGGATCTACTAATTCTGCAGGTTTTTTTGTTATAGGGATGAGATCATTAAAAAAACTGGATCCAATATCCATATGAGGGTTTCCACACATGCGGGATCCCCAAAATCGTTTTTTTTACTCGGATAGGCATCATATCAAAATGACAAAATATGGATGTTTTTTTTCCGGGGTAGCCCCATGACTTTGGAAACCTTTGGAAACCTTTGGAAACCTTTGGAAACCACCTCGAATCTCAAAGAGTCTCAAAGAGTCCTCGAATTGAGTCTGAAATCATAAAACGTCCAACACTCTTGGGATCATCCCACGTATCGTCTACGCCGCAAAAAGTTCACCCTGGTGATGTTCCGATAAATCGGGTGGATTTCCGAATTTCCACTGAAAAAGTTGGGATGAAGTAACCTACTTAATAAGTTGGATGATCCACCAAGTATGGTTTCACAGGGATCAAATGGGATACTCAGGGGATAATCATATGATAATGGACAGTTTTGAAATGGATTATAATGGATTTAGCAACGAGATTTTGGAGCCCGACAACTTGCCCTCTGGTAAACATAGAAAAAACGATTGAAAAATTGAAGCCATGGCCCAGTCGAAATAGTGAGTTTTCCCTTGAAAAATGATGGTTACCCTCTGGTAAACTGACATAGCTATTGAAAATGGCCATTTATAGTGGATTTTCCCATTGAAAATAGTGATTTTCCATAGTTATGTTAGTTTACCAGAGGGTAATCCACTAAATTGGTCGGCCCAGCTGTAGGAATCTGTAAATCTCATTTTTTTGTAAGTCCGGCAATCCGGACTTGACCGAGTGAACATGGCTTGTATGGGGTAATGATGGTTACTGATGGTTACTGATGGTTACTGATGGTTACTGATGGTTACTGATGGTTACTGATGGTTACTGATGGTTAATGATGGTTAATGATGGTTAATGATGGTTAATGATGGTTAATGATGGTTAATGATGGTTAATGATGGTTAATGATGGTTAATGATGGTTAATGATGGTTAATGATGGTTAATGATGGTTAATGATGGCTAATGATGGCTAATGATGGCTAATGATGGTTAATGATGGTTAATGATGGTTAATGATGGTTAATGATGGTTAATGATGGTTAATGATGGTTAATGATGGTTAATGATGGCTAATGATGGCTAATGATGGGTAATGATGGTTAATGATGGTTAATGATGGTTAATGATGGTTAATGATGGTTACTGATGGTTACTGATGGTTAATGATGGTTAATGATGGTTAATGATGGTTAATGATGGTTAATAATCACTGGTTGGTGGTTTCAAACATGAATTTTATTTTCCATAATAAAAACAGGGATAATCCTTCCCATTGACGATCATTGACGAACTTATATTTTCAAGATGGTTAAAACCACCAACCAGTGATGTTCAATGATTGTGTTAAATGGCCGAGTAAACGTCATGGTGACATGAAGTCGAGTTTATGCTTCCTGGAGGGGAACAGATAGACGTTTTAGAACCTGTTTCTTGTTTCTGATCTAATACTGTATATCTGGGTAAATTATAACGACCTCACTGTGACCTCACTGGAATCATGGTTAGTAAGGGAAATCATCCCCAAATGGCCTTAATTCAGGTCAGTGAATTATTATAATTTGCCCAGATATATGAATGTGCAGGTGCAATTCAAAATGCAATGGATCAAGGCCCTGGGCCACGCACGATCCATATACCCCCGATCCAAGCCAGGGTACAGGTCAGGGACCTTACGCAAACACTCCCCATCCATAGTTCCATAGCACGGATCACCGCGGAGGGTCCGTGAAATTTGAGGACACGCAAGAACCAATGTGGTCATTTTATGTACTTCTAGTAGCCATCTATCACAACATCAATCAGATACACACACAATAGTCATTGGAGCTTGTTGCTGACTATATATATATTATACCAGTATGTATATATTATGTATTTCTTACTATTTTTCGATCTTAACTCCTCTGAATGTGTAGCAGATATGCTGCTGAATGACATAGGAGGGCAGAGCTGGATCCTTGGCTACGGAAATTGAGCCGTTACTAGACATCACAAAATAAAACCACCATGGTTCATAATATCTTTGATTTGCTGTACATGTGTACAATTTACTATTTGGAAAACTGTTTATTTATTGATATATATATATACATATACTTATATATATACACAGACACAAACACACACACACACACATATATATATGCGCTGATGTTTGTATGTAGGGGCAACAACGTCATTGAGCTACGCATATGATAATTATATTATCATTTTTTTCACATGTTGTTTCCTTTTAAAACATCCTAGAAGACACAGGAAGGCAGCGGCAAAATGTCCATGGTGTAACCAGTTCCACTTCAACATGTGTCTTCGGCCTTGGTATAGACGTTTGAGCAGACCAACCACCATATATATATATATATATGTATCTATATTTTTGCGTGTATCTATCTATTTGTGTATATTTAATACATACATACATACATACATACATAGACAGACAGACAGACAGACAGGCAGGCAGGCAGGCAGGCAGACAGACAGACAGACAGCCAGAGACAGACAGACATTCATTCATTCATTCATTCATTCATTCATACAGTCATACATTCATACATTCATACATTCATACATTCATACATTCATACATTCATACATTCATACATTCATTACATTCATTACATTCATTACATTCATTACATTCATTACATTCATTACATTCATTACATTCATACATTCATTACATACATACGTACATACGTGCATACGTGCATACGTGCATACGTGCAGACATACAGACATACAGACATACAGACATACAGACATACAGACATACAGACATACAGACAGACAGACAGACATACATACATACACTTATATGCAGCTCTCTCTCTCTCTCTGTCATATATATATACACCTTTCTTATATATATATATCTACATATGTGTACATATTACTACTGATATCTACTGACTCAGCAGGATTTTTTGTCACACCAAAATTGGCCCAAGAAATCAGGTCGCTCGGGAGCTTCTGGCGAAATTGCCGTCCGAGAAGTTTGATGGTGCGGAGCCTTGATGGTTGGTGATTCCCCTCAAATATTGGTAGCACCAGGCGATATGAGATTTTTTTTTACACTGTTCAAAGCCACGGTTGATGATACACCAAACATTTTGATGGCACTACATTTCCAATGGATTTGCACCATCCATTATGGGAATTACACCTGCCCTAACATTTTGGGAATTTACACCATCCAAAACATGGGAATACGAAATGTGTCACTGGCCATGGCCCTGTGACCGACTCTTTGGAAGCTTCATGGCCCCCATTTTTTAAAGGCCTATAGCCTTGGGGCTTATGTAAGGGAATAACCCCACAACATATTGCCTTATATAGTACAGTACCTCCATTTTAGGATCCTGAAATCTGAGATTCCCACTGCTGTTGCAGTTTCGATATGAACCAGAATCAATTTTAGTGGCCCCAGCGCCGAAATCCCGACTTATGGTGGTTAAAATCCCACGGTTATGCCCACCCCAATTGCACCCCCAAGGGGGGGCATGGTATCCCAGGATGCGTGAAGAACATGGTAAGAAAGAGATTTAGGCATACTCTATTTTCACACAAGGCCATATTATTGCCCACAACAGGTTCACAACGGTTAACATTTGCTTCATTTTCCTGTATGCATATTCCCTAGTGATGGTGGGATGACCATACCCCAAAAACAATCTTTTGACCATGGCACATATGGTTTTCTCTCAAAATATGGTAATGGTAACCCAGGATTAGTACAGCTCCAGTTTATTTATGATGGGGTATGGTCATCCTTCCCACCGTGGAAATCCTTACAAGGAATCTAAATGAACTATGTTTTGACATTGCACCTGTTGCAGCATAGATATCCCTAAGTCCGTTTTCTGCATTAAACACGAATAACCGATTATCGCCACGTTATTCTTGATATTCCCCATTTTCAAACAAAACCCATATGTTGTTTCAACCATATTTGGGAAGGTGAAGCCGACTGACCCTCCGCATTTGTTTGGATGGGTTGAAGGCATCACCGCTGGTTGTAGCTGGTAAGAGGTATGCTTTCACCAGCTGACATGGTGGGATTTTCAGCAACACAAACGAGGGCCATTTTGCTGGTTCCATCTCTCATTTTCCCATGAAAAAGATGTTACGCCCATTGAAGAAAGTGTAAAGTATATAAACGTGTAAATGCATGCATAATATTTATCGGAGAGATGGCGCGCACACCATCAAGATCATGCACGCACTGTTTCTCACTCGTTGGGGAGATCCAGGGGAGACTCATTTAGGACAGCGACAGAATGTGATTCAACCCACCAAACTTACCTGGTTGGTGGCTTGGAGTATGAATTTTATTTTTTCACATATTGGGAATAGTAACCCCAACTGACTTTCATATTTTTCAGAGGGGTAGGTCAACCACCAACCAGTTTGCAATAGAGGTTTAGTTCGCGAAAATCATTGAAGTAAATTTAGTAAATGGTGCATTTTCCAACAAGCCACGCATAACTGGTTGATATTCGTGGTGATGGGGACAGCCAGGGTTGCTCATTAGTTACCAACTACGCTTCCCCGGGAATCAAAGTGGGAAGCAGTCTTACTGCAGACCAACCCAACCAACCCAAGCCATGAGGTGCGTGAGTCTGATTGAGTCTGCCTGAATCCACGTGCTGACTTGTTTTGTTTCAGTTCTGTTCTAAAATTCAGGCGGTTCAACTTCCCGCAGACAGTATGCTCCACAGATGAACTATATATCATTGAATTGGATTTGAGAGGGAAAAAACACCAAAGCTCTGAGATGTGGACTGTCAAAACTGTAGATTCTCTGTTCTGAGCTCAGCTCAGGTGTGGTTTTCCTGGACCAAAGCGACAGGAAAATGATCTTGCTGAGGACTTCGTCGGTGGGATCTAAGCGAAGAGATAAGAATGCCTTTGGTGTGGTTGGACGATTTTTTGACAGAATCTTGCATTACCTGTTTTTCTCTCACTATCTATATACTATATACACATAATTATATATATATATACACAGACATACATATTTTTTTTCGTTAGGCTCATTGATATATATATATATATACACATACATACATACGTACGTACGTACATACGTACATACATACATACATACAGACATACAGACATACAGACATACAGACAGACAGACATACATACATACATGTATACATGTAGATACACTACATTGCGTTGCACCACACTACACTGCACAACACTACACTACATCACATTACAAGTGCAATGCATTACATTATAATTACATTGCATTAGATTACATTACTGTACATTACATTATATTAACTTGCATTGCATGCATACATACATGCGATTGCATGTATGAATACATATATATATATACTAGTATATGTTTATTCATTTTTAGGGTAAAATTGTAAACATATATAAATTGTAAATATCTACAAACATGATCATATCATATCATATATATGTACTCAGATGTTGATTATATACATACACATCGCTGTGTGCAGAGTTTTCTTTCTATATTCACATAGTAACACTTGGTTTTTGGCATTCAAAGTGAGTTTCCATAACATGAAACCTTTGTTTCCAGCCCCAGGAGCAACGTGGGTGCCCTGGGTGCCCGTGCTGTGTCGCTGGTCACCAGTGGTGTGGTTCCGGAACGTCGCTTCGCTTTCTTTGATCAGGTGCATGGACAATGGGATCGACATATACTTGCAGGATGGGGCCCCCAAGATAGCGTTCAGTTGAGATATATAGATATGGCTGTGGCTGAATTCTCTGGTTTATGCTAGATATATCTAGATATAACTATAGTTAATGGTGTTTATAAATTTATAAACTGTAACTTATAACTGGGGGGCACCATCCTGTATGGGTCGACATATACTTAGAACATATCACTTCTCCGATGTTAGTATAGATGACCAGTCGCTAAACATTGTCTGTCAAATCACTTTGGGGACTGACATATATCTGGGTAAATTATAACGACCTCACTGCGACCTCACTGGAATCATGGTTAGTAAGGGGAATCATCCCAAAATGGCCTTATTTCAGGTTAGTGAAATATTATAATTTACTCAGATATATTGAATCATGTAAACCTCTGTGAATTGCAGAAGCCCTGAGGTCGCCAAAGAGGCTATGCAATGTGTAGCCGTTTTTGATAAAAGGACATGACCACCATGACCACATCGATTTTTAGTGTGAAAGGGTCAGTGGTCAGTGGTTGCATGGAGACAGGGTCCACATATAGATAGATAGATAGATAGATAGATAGATAGAGATAGATAGATAGATAGATCGATAGATAGATAGATAGATAGATAAATAGATATCATTATATATATAGAGATACACACACATATATATATACACAGTGATTGTTGATTAGTTCTTTACGTTTTTTCCCTTCCTAAATGGGACGTTTTTGTTTTTTTCAGCTGTTGACTGGTCGGCAGGTGCACACCACGGGAATGGACATCCTCACAGCTCCCTGCGCCAAAGCTGTGGTGACCATCGGCAAGGACGACTGGGATGATCTTGGATGATCTGGGGATAGTATTGGGAAGATATTGGGGATAAGAATGGGATATTCTTCAATGGGAATTTCAGGATCCTAAAATGGAGGTACTGTACCATATAAGGCCTTATTTTGTAGGGATATTCCCTTACATAGGCCTTATATAGGCCTTATACATGGTAGGTACCTCCAATTTAGGTTCCTGAAATGGTCATTGAATTCTTTGGAGAATGGGATGAGAATAATTTAATAGGTTATATTCCATGGATACAGAGGTGTCTATTGAATGATTTATTTCCCATCGATACATACAGATAAACCATAGTTGATTTGCAGAACATGTTATGTCTACCATAGGAACACCACATGTCCCATCCAGGCATCAACCGTGGCTGAAATCCCCGAACTATATAAGTAGAGGTTTAAAACGCGGGGAAAATCATCAAACGTGACTGGCTGGTAGACCAACAGTTTGCGAACTGGAAGTCATGGCACGGCAATAGTTCGATGATTTACAGTTCCTATGTAAACACGATTATTCCATAGCTATATTAGTTTATCGAAGGGTGACCGCCATGAATTCAGCAATGATCTTTATATCCTCCATAAACATATACACACACACACATATATATAATATACACAGATAAACTAGTCATTATAAAAAATGTTATATCTACCACAAACATCCACAAGCCATAGAAAACTCACCTTGTTAGCCTAGTTTGTATTTGCAGCAACTGAGCTATTGTAAACGGGGGCCCCACCTTGTGGCGAATGGATGTGAGACAGCTGGGATTGCTGCTTGATATAAGGCGAATTGATCCATCTCCTTTTTTGACGCATTTCAAGCTTACGTAAACGGGATATCATTAGGATATAACTAATGGGATATATGACCTATATTGTACCTGTGGATGTCTGAACATGGGGTATCAACCTCAATTATTGCGATTTTGATGCGCAAAAGAAGCATCATTAAAAGTCCATTGATGATTTACTGTATATTGATTTATCATATTTAGCATCCGGAAATGATCTGTTTTCATCTGTTTTCCAATTTTTCCACTTCGAACTTTTGCCCAAGATTCGGTCAGGACATGAATTTCCGGGACTATGCCCAGGGCGCCTTCCGTATGCGAAAGGTTGGCAAAGGCGGCTATAACGGTGCTGGAGGGCTATACCAAGTGGGGTGCATCCCAATTTACTAAGTGGTTTATGGATGTTTATGGTAGATATAACATGATATCTGGTTGGTGGTTTGGAACATGATTTTTCTTTTTCCATATACAGTATTGGGAATAGTAACCCCAACTGACTTTCATTTTTCAGAGGGGTAGGTCAACCACCAACCAGATATAACATGTTCTATACTAACTATACGTAACTATACTGTAGCCTATTATCCAAACTTATCTATATCTATGGTTTATAGATTTGACTTAGTAGACGTATCCGATTTGACCTTTGTTTGTTTTTTGGATCGTAGTTTGTGTGGTCAACTCCATGTTTGTGAAAATTGGGTAAACACCACGGTGGTGGTTTACTACGCATCAAATGGATACCCTCTGGTAATTTAACATAGCTATTGAAAATGGCCATTTATAGTGGATTTACCCATTAAAAATGGTGATTTTCCATAGTTACGTTAGTTTACCAGAGGGTACTGTAAACACTCTTCATTCAATTATCATGGGATTTTTCATAGAATCATCATGGGATTTGAATGGGATCTATTGGGATTTCATTGCCTTTGTTTGTGCCCGGTAATCAAACATAACACTGGAAAATCCGAAATCCTTCATCAATGGGGATTTCCAGTTGCTATGTTTGTTTCCCGGAGGGTTTCTCGTGGTTTCCCATGTATAGCTGGGCTGTTCAGATATAACTGGAGTATAACTATGGTATAACTCACTGACGATTCCTGCAATGCACATCCAAGCAGTACATTCACTGACTTTCAGCATCAGATTTGTCTTTGCCCAAGCCACAACTACGGCTTTTCACGTTCATGTACTACAAAAACCCATCGCCCTTAATAAGGGATCCCAAGATGAAACATTGAATCTAAACCAGATTTCCCACAGGTTATTTTATGTTGGAGGAAGGATTACGGATTACATACAATAATTACTCTAGATATATATTATGTAATATTATGTACATATATAACACATGTATGCATGCATGTCTACCTACCTGCCTACCTACCTACCTTCCTTCCTTCCTTCTCAAAAATGCATCACTCACTGACAGACTGACTGACTGACTCATTCATTCATTCATTCATTCGTTCATTCATTCATTCATTCATGCATGCATTCATTGACACAGACATGTATCATACATAGATGCACATATCCCTACCTTCCTATCCTAGCTTCCTATCCTTCCTACCTACGTTCCTGCATTCGCACAATGGCGCCGCTTGGAAGGTCAATCGATTCATCTCTTCGTCATCCCGGAGGTCCTTTGATGGGTGGCCAGGGCGCCAGGGCGGTTTAGTGGCGAAAAAACATGGGATATGTTGGGTGTTGGGATAGGGTTGCAACCACTACCATCTATAACCAAAACTAAAGGGGTTTGAAATTTGTTAAAATCCCTTTTCCCACTTATGACGTAGGCTACATGGGTGTTTAACCGTTCATGGCTATCGCGATGGGATTCTAAGCCCTTTTTTCAGTTGGGATGTCTTGTGGCTCATTGATGTTGATGGATTAAGATCTTACCCGGGAAGAACATGGAGAGATCATTTCACACATTGGTGGGAATGTTATGTATATACATACATATCATAAGTATAATAATAATAATGACAATAATAACAATAATGACAATAACAATAACAATAATAATAATAAATATTTATATACATATCATATATATATATATTATGTATACATGATATATATATATACACATACATAGATCATATATACTGTCTCCACTTTCCAAAAACCACCAGAAAGGTTTCGTTGCAGTTTTTTTGGTCCATGTCTTTTTGTTGCGTGTCGAAGGTGCAGACTCGAATTGCTGCAGAGCTGGGTCCCAGTAGCAGCCTGATCTTGGACGTGCCAAAGTGGCTCCTGTTGAACTCCTGTCGTTTCCCGGACCAAGGGATCTGTGTGGATCAGAAAGTCCTGGGTAGCCTCTAACATTGCGAACTGGAAAATCACCGGTGTTTAAAGGTAAATCAACTATAAACATGGCCTTTTTCCATGGCTATGTGTTTTTTTTTTTTAATCAGAGGGTATCCAACTTTGACAACGAACATGGGCCAAAGCAGTGGTGAAACATATCTTTTTGTTCAAACTCACAGGCGTTTTTTTTGGTTACGTGTTGAATGTTGAATAAACTGTTGCTGGTGAATGGGAAGCGACTGGCTTGTGTTTCAACCCTGTCTTGATCATCAACTATATAGATGACTATGCTTTGTGTCCCACTGTCTCTATGAAACGCCTCTATTTGTTCTTACAGGAATGTGTGCAAAAATGCAAAGATGAGATATATCATCATCATGTATCTAGATTTATTACCTCCATTAGTATGTCTAGATATTATCCACAGATATCCACAGTCCTGGAGGTTTCAAAAGTCATGTCCATCTTCCCAGGTTCTGAATCTCTACAGTCCTTGATACCTGGCTGGTTCTGGTGGCGAGGTCGCTGATCATTACCCGACCTGGTAAACATACAAAAAAATATGGAAAATTAAATGAAAATCACAATTTTTGATGAGAACATCCACTATTTCGACTGGGCAATTTCAATAGCTATTTTGACATAACCAGAGGGTACCCCTGTTGTTTTTGGGGTCAACGCCCCGAGGCGGGCGTGGTTTTTTCCACGTTTGTGCTCTTTGGCAGTATACGTGTTTAACGCTCTTGCCGACTGTAAGATGACGCTACGGAAGACACTTTGCCCAACTTTGTTGCTGACGTCTTGCTACCTTGACCGCGAGGGGGGGTGGGGGGGGGGGGGGGGATGATAACGTTCCTTTCGACTGTAAGATGACGCTACCGAAGACACGTTGCCCAACTTTGTTGCTGACGTCTTGCTACCTTGACCGGGAGGGGGGGTGGGGGGGGATGATAACGTTCCTTTCGACTGTAAGATGACGCTACCGAAGACACGTTGCCCAACTTTGTTGCTGACGTCTTGCTACCTTGACGGGGAGGGGGGGTTGGGGGGGTGGGGGGGGGATGATAACGTTCGTTTCGACTGAAAGAGCACTGAGGAAAAAAAGAATGCATTCAACCTCAAGCAGATGTTGCGGAATTGCAAAAGTTTTTTTTGGCATTTTGACATCTTGCAGCAAACGTCAAAACATCATAGATCACAAGCACAAAATACTGTAAATTACAGTGTAAAAAGGTGATTTTTGATTCAATCACCAAGTACACAATTGTAGAAAACCCACACCCGCCTCAAGGCGGTGTTCCCTTGTTTTTCTTCGATGTCCATTTCGAGAATTCTCCTAAGTTGCCCAGAAACTCCCAGGCCAAAGATCACCATTTTCACAGGCTTCCCAAAGGTGATTGGGCACCGAAGCGAACATGATTCAGCAGGAATGCTTTCACGTGGTGGGTGGTGACCCTCTAGTAGAAGACTGGAAAATACCGCATGATTAGCTCATTGATATTGGCCAGGTTGAATTCCGTGATGACATTTCCCAATGTTTTCAAAGACTTGGAACGCTTTCTGAAAATTTCACCCACTATGTAACTCTCACAAGCCTGAAATGTTGGCTTGTTTTCAAAGGGCACCTTCGAACATAGATGGAACAGTTCGATTCTCCCGTCCAAACATGGCTGGGGCTATCTCTTCTCGCTTGAAGTATGAAAGATGGGGGATACCAGTGGGCTCGCCAAGAGTTTCTAGACTAATTACACAATAACAGCTGGATTAAGCGAGCATTCTGTGTTTTAAGAATTGGAATAGCCATGTTGTTCTTGTTCTTGTTCTTGTTGTTGTTGTTGTTGTTGTTGCTGCTGCTGTTGTTGTTGTTGTGGTTGTTGGTTGTTGGTTGTTGCTTGTTGCTTGTTGTTTGTTGTTTGTTGTTTGTTGTTTGTTGTTTGTTGTTTATGTTGTTGTTGTTGTTTTTGTTGTTGTTGTTGTTGTTCCGAAAACGAATACACGTAGATCAATACAGACTACCTAAATTCTTGAATTGTTTTAGGATTACTCTAAACACTTGGTTGGGGGGAATATATGTGTACTAATGTGGTAAACCGAATTTCAGAAACCCTCCCCAAGTCATCACCATTTTTATGGGTGGTATGTTTGCCATCCCCAGTCATGGTGTTCCCACATTATTCCATTTATCAATTTTATCCATTCTTCATCAATGATTGTTGGTTATATACAAACTATCAACTATTATTAACTATCATTTTACTGAATATAGTTGGTTAATAATAGCTGGTTATTTCACAACAGCATATTTTATACACCAGTAATCGTGATGTTAATATTTTTGATTTTGCTAATATTGTTAGTTATAGTGATGGTTAAACAGTATAGTTGATACTTAATGTTTTCCAACTAGATAACATTTTTCCAACTAATATAAAACCAACATGTCAAAAACCCGTTGTACCAACTGTTCAGTTTTTTCCAACTAATATAACCAATATATACATGTTAACCAACAAATATATATAATGTATACCAACTATATAACATTTTTCCAACTATATAACTACATGTTTTTCCTGGGCCAGTTCTCAATGCAAAGAACCGGAGGAAACTGTTGGCCCAAGAGCTCACCAACGGCTGGCGGAAGCAGGCGCGTATTTTTTTTTTTCGGGACGGGCCAACAGAAGATGTGCTGCGTTGAAGCCTTGTTGGTTGGTGATATGTGATTATAGTTATATAAGTTATCAACTTTATTTAGTGCCAATGTGAATTAATTTCCAATATTCTATAGGCTTTCTATATGTTGCTATATGCTGATATGATGTGATGTGATTGACAAATGATAGTGGCTTGATGCTTAGTTCGGGGACTGCCCTGGATAAAGTGGGTTCAGTTCCATTGGCCAAGTTTGAGCAGATCTCATAAATTTGGTTTCATGCTTCTGGGGCAACAATGGTGATGGTGATGTTGATGTTGATGATGATGATGATGATGGTGATGATGATGATTATGATGACAATGGTGAGAGTGAGTTTTTTTTGAACGGGTATCGAAACTTAGCCATATCCTGTGGCTGTTGTGAAGTTTTGCTTGATCTCCGTGTCCTGTTTCATCAAAGCAGATTGTCTCGGCTCCCAGTCACCTGGTTTCTGCTGTTGGTGAACGTGCATGTGAATGGTGAATATCCTCATGGTGGTTGCCTCTAGCATCATCGACTGACGAAGCATCCATCGTTGATGAAGTCCCCTGTGGAATGTGTTCAAGATGTTCATGCGAAGCATTGTGAAGCTGTTTTTTTTACCCTCTGGTAAACTAACATAGCTATTAAAAATGGCCATAGAAATAGTGGATTTACCCATTAAACATGGTGGATCTTTCCAGTTAGCTATGTAAACGTTTACCAGAGTGTAATGATCAACATTGATCAACCATTCAAAAATAATCAACCATGGATGAAGTCCTAGGGCCTTAGGGTGTTGATCATTGTTGACCGAGTTTTCATACACATGTCATGGTTTAACTTGAGCTCAAGTTACCATTTCATGGAAAAATCGGGGGTTCCAGAACTGGTGGTACCCCAATAGCTGGTTTATAATGGGAAAAAGCCTATTACAAAAAAGGAATATATATAATGATATGTGTCAAACATGTTGAAAACATCCCTAAATAAATGGATGCATATGGATGCATGAATGTCCTTTTACCAAACAACCACTTAAGATACCCGAATGTCGACCCATCGGCCAAGGGGTGGTGGATGGGTCCACCTCAGAGGTCCACCATTAGGGCCACCTCAGAGGTCCAGTAAATTTTCAGAGTCGAACATGAAGCCATGGCCCGATGATAAACATGCTGATTTTTCATTATACCCTCCAGTAAATTAACATGACATACATGACGACCCTGCCAGGGGTTGGAAGAATAGTTTCCACATGTTTCCACCATAAATGGGTCATTTTCAGGGTCGAACTGTGAATTTACCAGGGGTTTTTTATAGCACCCTTTGTGATTTTCCAGTTCGCGGCCGGCATAACCTGGCCGGGTGGTACCGGCCTGATGGGAACCATCTCCCCCCCTACAGATAACCTGGGGGGGATGGGTTGTCCCATGAGAGGTGGCGTTGCCATCTATGGATACCTGTGGATGTATGGATTGAGATATCTACCATAAACGGTAAAACGGCAAAACCAGCATGACTTTGGTTAAATATGACATACCAGGTTATCATGGGTTTTGAAACTAGATATATTGGATGTATTTATATTCTCATATACATAGATATTGCTATATTTCCATATTTCCATTTATCCAAACATATATATATATATGTACACATTCCTCTTACTAGATATATTCCTATATATTACAACGTATAATTCACACTATATATGTTAGACATGTTCCTATTAGAGGAATATATCCTAGATATAGAGGAACATCGGATATATAGAGGAACATATTATATATACCTCCCAAAATTAGACATGTTCCTCTATATATCCTATGGTTTCACCATGTTTCACCAGCATTTCAGCCACCTTTTTGCGCCCTGCAGGCGCTGCAACACCTCTGCGCCGACGCCGCGGCCCATAGCAAGATGCCGACGGCGGAACGAATGCGACGCTTCGAGGGGCCCCAGGTGACCAGGGCGACCGAGGGGCGACCAGTCCTGCACCAGTTGATAGGTGGTAAACATCCCATGATTTGTAGGGTTTCAACATGTTTCAACCATCCAAAATTGGTGGTTTATGAAATTTCGCTGGCCCAGCGTATCCTAAAAGAGGGTGTGGAACTGAAGAAAAATCCAGGAATCTTCACCAGGCCACCAGGAGATTCTCGTGGATCACAAGACGGGGGATGTCACCAAGTGGCAACACGTCCACATCCACACTTTTCATGGCTGAAAGGATCCACAGCTATTCGTGTGTTTTTCTCCCGTGGTAGCTTGTTCTGACCCAGTTGACAGTAGACACCAGTGCCTGGTGAGTCTTGACTTTTTTTCCTTACTATCCTACCTGGAATGGATGGTTGCAATTGCCTATAGCAGATGTTTGTCAGGTTCATCAGGTTCAACCCGCAACCAGTCCAAAAAACTGGTTCAAGGGACAAAAATACAGAAAACCTCTACCCTCTGGTAAATTAACATAGACCCTGAAGATAACTAATGTTTAGTGGAAACTAATCTTCCAGGGTCGTCATGTTTATTTACCAGAGAGTACTCTTAGAATGGGGAAATCAAAAAATGATTCCAGTAACATATCCAGCAACATACCCAGTGATATTGGTTTATAATACCCGTTCTCTATAGATATACCCTCTGGTAATTTAACATAACTATGGCAAACCACTATTTTTCATGGGAAAAATCACTATTTCTATGGTGATTCTCCATAGCTACGCAGCTACGTTACATAACCAGAGGGTATATCTACTATAGATTTCCATGGTTATCTCTGATTTTCCATGTTTTTCTTCCTGCAGATTCAGTAAAACTCTCCAGGCGGCCTTGCGCTCCTGCTTGGGCCCTTTCCAGGACCGGGATTTAGTGGGATCATGGGGGTCGACGGCTGTACATGGCTGGTTCAACAGAAATGATCCATGGGGATATAGGTGGTGGGATATAGTGGGATATTTCATGATCTATTTTGGGATATAGGTTTTTGGGATATAGTAATGGATTTTTTGTGGGATATTTCATGATCCAACATGATATTTCCAGTATATTTCCCTTAGATGGGCAACAAATCACGGAAACCATGGAATCTATCCGAATCTACCCATTCTATGGTGTCTCAGGACCAGATCTCGTTTGCGGTGGACGACCAAGTGATCTTGCCAAGGCGGCCATGGCCTGACATCCCCACCGTTTGGTTGACATCCCCGCGTGGTTGTGTCATGTTTTGTCAAAGCCAAGTGAAGTTATATCACCCATGACGGATCCATGGTGCTGCTATATATGGTAACATGATGTAACATGGATCCCATATTTTACCATCCATATACCCCAGTCATGTTAGCATATATACCAGCACCAGCCGGATCCGTCATGGGTCAAGTTATTGACAGATTCCAGTTCTGGGGGGGTAGAGAAAAAACTGCCAAGTTCCGGATCATTCCACTTCGAAGTGGGGGGATGGAACGGACCCACTGATGGTAGAATTTGACTATACATACTTCTGGAATACAAATTCAAACACAGACACAACAGATGTGGCAAAAATGGGCGTGTAGATCTGGGAAAAATGGGCGTGTACACCCAATTTTTTCCAACGGCGAAAGTAAAGTATAAGTCAATTTCAGGATACAGGATCTATCCGACTATGTCCACATTCATTATTGGTAAAGCCGTTTTTAGATATTTTTTGTTCCATCCATTTTCCGATGGGTTTCCATGGGTTTCCCAATATATGAAAGCCATTATCCTGCATGTTTTCTTGACGATATTTACCACATGATTTCCAAGTGTCCAACTTTCATGTTTCTTTTGATTGCTGCAACCCTGGATTGCAAATCCTTTGATTAATATTTTGTGTAGCATTTATTTGTCTAAATGAAGTGAACAAGATATCACTATTTGTGGGGGCTCAACAATGAATAAACAGAAGGTTCATTGATCAAACGTTGACATCAACCGAAGCATAGCCTCAAGTGAAACGAGGTGGGTATGGTATGTGTGAATGACATGAAACATATTGAATTATCATATATATTTGATCTTTCACATCTAACGTCGAAAATCACTTCTACAACGACATCCTCCCTGCCGGACTGTCCTGTCCTTCGCCCAGGTCATATCGTGAGACTTTGCAACAGCAATGCGACCAGCAACTTGGATGACAGTCATGGTTTTTGGTCATGGGATGGTGACTGTGGTGGTAAAAGACCCTATTTTTTTGACAAACGACGATATTTGAACATACTTGAACAATTTGTGGCATTTCTGTGAGTCAACCAACGCATGTTAGACTCTTATCTCCGTATTTTATTTACGAGTCAAATCAATGACCCCGTAGCAGCCTGTTTTCTCATCCAAAACAGGTAGTGTGCGTGTGTGTGGATGTATGGTAGTGGCATGAGCCATGCTGTTCCGAAAGTTTATCAGGAGTCGTTTTTCGACATAGGCAACCGACCAGAAATCTACAAAGTGAAGCCCCCAAACCATAGTTAAGTTGACTTCACTACAGTTATATAATGGGGTTGCTAAACCAACACACATCACCAAAAGGGCCCACCAAATCAGTCGTAGCTGATGTGTTGGATCCTCCTGAACTATTCACTTCAGGGATCATTCTAGCCTCCACATCCTTTAAACGGTGCAGTTTTAGTGCCACTATATAGATCGGAATTGGAACAGATTGATTGACACATATATCAAAACATACTATTGTTGGGAGGTCATCTTTAAATCCACTTCTGTTTGGCTTCACTCACGTTCACTCTGGTTCCTCAAGCCCTATCGAAAAAGTGCTTTTGGTTGATATGAATATGAATGTTAATGTAATTGAGATTGTTCATAGGCCTGTTTCGCCATGTCCTACAAAAATTGGTTGCTTTCCCTACAGCTGTTGCCAACGGCTTCTCCACGTTAGTCGTTCCAGGCATCAGCAGTTCTGCGATGACGTCAGTCGTCAGCAAAATCTCTTGAATCGAATCGATGCTGAATCCAAGGTTGGAGCCTTGGATCGACCGATCGACCTCTGGACGCGATGGGGAGCTTATCGACTGGTTATGACTGGTTGGCATGCGATGTTTATATTCTCAACAGATAATGTGAATTGGCAGTCATGTGCAATTAGATATTATACATATTATACATTACTATACTATTATTCATTAATGTGAGCGGATATTTTATATGTATATACATATATGTAATTATATTATTGTACTATTATATCTTAATGCGATTGTATCATAGTGTGTTTGTGTCAGTGTGGTTTGACTCGCCTACAATCATGCTGTGACTGCATCATTGCCAAGGCTGGAAGAGCTTGTCAACATATCAATTGGTGCCATATGAACTACTGCATAGGTTTGATACATACATAATCATATATAAACAAACATAGATATGTGCGGTACATATAATATGTACATATATATATATATACACATGTATTTGTATAGTGTGTAACATATAATGCATATGTATATACATGATCCATCGGATATTGAGACATACATGAATATAGAACACATGTATTTGTACATGATACAAGCTTTTTTATATGATTTGCTTTACACACATTATTCATAATATGATTTTTATGTTTGTGGTCAGCAATAGTAAACCAGCCATAGATTGATGGTTGAAAAACACCCGTCGAAAACTGGGTTCAGTTATTGGGGATGGTGGATCCTATATCATACTTGTATCATTCTATTACATATGGAGGTTTCCTGGAAAAAAGGGGTACCCTCTGGTAAACATACAAAAAACTATGGAAAATACCACCATGATATTAATGGGAAAACTCACTATTTCTATGGCCATTTTCAATAGCTATTTTGACATAACCAGAGGGTAACCCGGGTAACCCCCTGCCCACTTAGCCTTTCGTTGCTTGGAGGTAGCCGACCACCAAGAAATGCATCAGGGATTCACAGCTGAAGTGGTACATGAACAGGCCAGTTGGGCGTAGCACCTGGCTTTTGGAGCTGTTGGGTGTGAGGAAAATTGTAAGAAATTTGCGTGATGTTTGTTGAGATTCAACCAGCATTTAGCCACTCAAGAATTGGAAGTCTTAGGATTTTACAAGCAAAATTGAGAAGTAAACGGAGTTTAAGCAACCAGATTTGGCTAAGTAGCCGGGCTTTTTGTTGACTTTACATCGCGCATGTGACCGACCTCTTGACCGCGGATCTGCACAGATTCCGAACCAGGAAACACAGCTGTCAACAGAGTCCTAGTGACTTTGTGCTCAGGAGTTACACCCAACAGCCCTTTCAAAGATTTTCAAAGTAGAGGGGTGACTTTCTCTGGTTTGCATATGGTTTATATTTTCTATGGTTTTTCTATGATTTATGTTTTTTCCTATGTTTTTCCTATGTTTTTTCCTATGGTTTTTCTATTGTCTACGGATGAAGCTGACTGGTTTTCCGACCTTTGGGATGATCAGGAGCAGGAGCAGCAACAAGAGCAAGAAGAGGAGCAGGTGCGCACGCGACAAAAATTCATGGTTGATCAATGGTTACCCTCTGGTAAACTAACATAGCGAACTGGAAAGATCCACCATTTTTATCATGGGAAAATCCACTATTTCTATGGTCATTGTCAATAGCTATTTTGACATAACCAGAGGGTAATCTATAGACAATCTATGGAAAATCAAGGTTTTTATGGTTAATCTATGGTGGTTTTTCTGTGGTTAAACAAATGGTTGATGTATGTGAATTTTTGGTTACCCTCTGGTAGCTCCATACAAAAAACGAACTGGAACATCACCATGTTTAATGGGTACGGTAAATCAACTATTTCGACTTGGCCATTTTCAATAGCTATGTTAAATTACCAGAGGGTAGATCAAACAACTGGCACAGCGGTAAAATATACATGACTGTTCAGTATGATCTATAGCTGGATTTGTTTTTTATTTTTGATCATGTGTGTATATATATATATATATATGTGGCACATTTAAGTGAGCCCTATTTTGCATAGTTCAGCTGCCAAACGTAGGATCAGTTGGAGTCTAGAAACACAGTGATATACATGTACCAACATATATATATATACAATTGTATATATATATACAATCTATAATTATTTTTCCATACTATCTAGATGTATATCTACTATATATATATGCATGGTTTTGCGACCGAATCACCAAATCACATGGTGATTGCGAGAATCTATTAAGTGACTGAATCCTATCCCCCATGTGTTTTGGTGAAAATCAGGGATTCCATTGTCGTTTGGTGAGATCGCCGGCAGCAGTTTTCAGGAAGAAGAACAAGAGAATGCCTTCACGAGAGATGATGAGTCGGCCGTCAGCAGTTCCAGTGCGATTTCCTATGGGATTTTGAGGGATTTTGAGGGATTTTGATGATGGGTTCCGCGCAAACCGGCGTTTTGTACTCCAAAAGATTGGATGATTGCCATCTTGGTTTCTGAAACATGGCTTCTGGGAAATCCATGGATATTCTGATATTCCCATTGATGACACCTGAGGATTTTCCGATTTCTCATGGATTCAGTTGCTGTCAGGCAGGCAAACCCTTGGCGTGCACAAGTCCTATCAGATGCGCCCAAAGAAGAGGGAGAGGTGGGAAATAAAATGATGGTTCTCTGGATCTAGATATGGATTTGATAGATGATTTGATGTTAAACGGAACACAGATTACATGGGAAGCAACTATGAATGAACTATGATCTATCATGGAGATATAGAATGATATAGCTTATAAATGTTTATGAAAGGTCCTATAGTCAATATACATCTAGGAATACAGACCTAGTCATCCCCAGGACCAGTGTCATTGGGAGTTACATAGTCTTGTCGGTACCCCAATAGCTGGATGGTTCAGAGATTGTTTATATTGGAAAATCCGAAAAAAAACAATGGATGATGTAGGGGGTACACCCAATTTTGGAAAGCTTCTACTTTTGCCCATGTTCCAAAATTCTTACAGCCGAACTCCCACAGGAGGAATGCACTGATTGAGATCTGGTTAAATGCAGTGATTTCTCCAGGAAAACACATGGGTTACATGGAGATACATCCAGGGTATATATATATATATATCTACGATCATTGGAGGTTAACCCCACGTTGTAACTGTTCAATAGTCATTCTTTTAATCGAGTTATGAGTAGAGATGTCAGTCTGGATAACCGCTGCTCCATGGCTGATGCCCCCATGTGAAATGATGAATTTGGGAGACCAAACCCCGAGGATCCATTTCTTTTCCGATATGTTCATGGTATTTTTCCATGTTTTCCCATGAAAAGCCTATATGTTCATGGTATTTGTCCTAGTTTTCCCATGAAAAGTTGGGATTTTCCGATGTTCCCTTCTTTTTGTCCCTGATTTCCGAGCCCTGGAGCTGATAGACCAGCAGGGCGAGCGACCCTTCTATCGCCTCTGTCATTTCCGCGCGCGACCGGAGCAGCCCTTGTTGCCACTGGATCGCGGCCTCTGGTATCTCGACGTTTTCCATGTTTTTCGATTTTGTCTTCGGGTCAAGTTACTGAGGGGGTAAGAAATTCCATCCAAAAAAGGGCTGAAGGTGTGTAAAAGTACCATAGTCATAGTCATTCCGGGGTGAAACGCATTTTTTGAAGTTTTAAGATATTTTAAGGCTATTCTTGGAGGAGCCAGGTATCTTGACCCACATCGACTTGTTTCTTTTGTAGATGCAACTTGACTGGTCGCGCCACACGGTTTATGATGATTGTTGATAGAGGATATCTTCGTAACCATGGCTTATCATAGATTTGTTTGTAGTGATTTACTCAGATGCTTTTTGCAAGGATTTGGCGTTTTTTTTGTTTTTTCTGATTTCCTTACTATCCTTATTGGGTCAATCATCATTAAACGGTCTCAAGATTAGGAGCCAGGAAAAAGTGAACAAGCACTACAGTGTTTCTTTCACCCATGGCGGTGGCGAGTCTGATGGTTAGTGAAGGCAGATCTTTGCGTTGCGGGATGATCGAACATACATTTATCATTTTTTGGGCGCCTGAAATATCGTGAAATATCATGGGTGTGTCATATGAATTTCAAAGCCTATTTCAACACAATAACCAGAGCAGTTTTGTAGTTTAGACAAAAAAGTGATATGGCATGAGACTGAAATACTGTATCTTACTGCTTGGTGGTTTGGAACACTTTTTAACTTATTTTTCCATAATCATCCCAACTGACGCCATCAGTCCATCAGTCCATCATTTTTCAGAGGGGTCAACCAGCAACCAGCTGTTGGGCTTTCTGAATCCTCCAATGGGTTCTTCGAGCCCAGGCTAAGTGACAATTTCTTCCGCCCCACTTGGGTAGGCGGGATTTTTTCCGAACGAAAAATGAGTGGATTATATGGGATTATGGGATTCAGCCACAGAATTTTCAGTGACATGTCAACATGTTATACTAATGGTTTTCATGAGTGTAGTTGGCTTTCATGGCTTGTATTAACATGATGGTATCCCATAAACAATGGGTACCATACACAATGACACAATGGATATATATATGGATATATTATATATATAAGATATATTATATTAGTTGTTGTTATGGGATATCCGTTATCCTATAGCAATATAGCTACTTGTGCGCCAGATTTCAACAGCATTGGCTGGAAACTCCACCAATTTAGTTCGAGGTTTCCCCCTTAAAACCAACCATCAATTAGGGAATCTCAATTGCTGTGTTTGATTACCCTCTGGTGAACTAACATAGCAATGGAAAATGGCCATAGAAATAGTGGATTTTCCCATGAATAGCATGGTGATTTTCCATTGCTATGTTAGTTCACCAGAGGGTACCACTAGGCAAACATGTTTGGAAGATTTTGGAAGGGTATCTAAGGGCAACCATGATGGACGCTTTTGGGCTGATTCACGCTGGAAGCTGTGTGCTTTGACATAGAATAACGGGCCCATACAGCTTTTGGACATGGCCGCCTTAGGAATATGTTCGGAAAACAAAACTGTGCGCAACAGTGTGTATGAGATGTACACATTTTTATGCACATGTATATGGTCAATATTGATACATATTGATTGATACCTTTTTAAGCAGCAATATGATTTAACATATGTATTCTAATATATATATATGTATATATATATACACATTGTTGTTTTTGTCATCTCACATTTTATTTGTTGGCAATCTACTTATTCACAGTTTATGATATAATATGTACATACGTAAATATACATGTATATACCTGCTTAACATATGTACACATAGACTATATATATACATTGACATACTTTAAAAATATGCGTTTATATGCATATACTTTATTGATATGCATTACAGCCTACTTACATGTGTGTATATATATATATATTATATGCTCCTATGATGAACTAGGCAAACCCCATTTGTGGGAACTTCGAACCTTGCCGTTTGGTAGCATTGCCAGAGAGTCACCAGTTGGTTTCAGGTTCCATCAGATGTTTTTTGTACATCTTTCTTTGGGTTGACTCGTTGTTTGACCATGTATGGACTGTGCCTAAACACATATATACACGCATACATACATACATACATACATACATACATACATACATACATACATACATACATACATTACATACATACATACATACATACATACATACATACATACATACATACACATACATACATACATACATACATACATACATACATACATACATACATACATACATACATACATACATACATACATACATACATACATACATACATACATACATACATACATACATACATACATACATACATACATACATACATACATACATACATACATACATACATACATACATACATACATACATACATACATACATACATACATACATACATACATACATACATACATACAGATGCATATATATATATATTGTAGATATCAATACATGCATATATAATTATATATCTATCCTACTTTTGTTTTTGATTAGTTTCACATCAACTCATAGATAATTATAAATATGTTATAAGTTTCACCATAATATGGTACTCTTGTTGCACGGTACTCAGTACACCGTGATGAGCTCAGGTAGCCGTCATCTAGAATGTCCTGGATGCGAACACTTCTCAATCCTATTTAGTGGACCTCAAGAGAAGGTGTTTTGATGTGTTGAATCTTGGTCTTGATGTACCAAAACTTCCAGATTTCCAAAAAAGGAAAAGGCTGAGGGACCTATTTTTAACATAAAGTAGATTAGAAAACAAAAGTATCACTTAAAGTGATGGATATACCCTCTGGTGAACTAACATAGCAATGGAAAATCACCATTTTTCATGGGAAAATCCACTATTTCAATGGCAATTTTCCATTGCTATGTTAGTTCACCAGAGGGTATCTATATCTATATCTATTTTTATTATTGGAACCCATACAGCCATGGTTTCCTGTAGATTTTTATTATTGGAACCCATTTTTTCCATAAAGTGATGGATATAACCATTGTTTCAGCCATAAAGTTGTCACGGTTCCATAGAGCCAGGTTTGGGGGAACGACGTTTGAAGACGGCCTCGGTGCTGTTGGAATGGCATCCAGAGATCTCACAGGTGCGGTTTTTCACCCCCCCAAAAAAATATATGGTTTGGGGTACCCATATCATATATATATATACATATATATACACTATATATATATATATACACTATATATATACATGTATACACTGTATGTATATCTATATATGTATATGTATTGATATCCAAAGTTGATTATATTATCAATGGGACAGCTCCACAATTACTGGTCACAAAATTCATCACGACCTCACGTTACTGGTCAGTAACCTATTAGTAACCTATCAGTAACCTATGGTAACCCGTATTTTTTTTGACTTCACATGACTTTAAACATGACTTTACCTTACTATTTTTTGGGATTTATCATATACTATATATATACACATGTGTACGCACCTAGACCTTCCAAATACCGCATAATAAATGGGTGAACTGAGCCTTAAACTATGGAGTAACATATCAGTTCTTATGGGTGCTTTCCTCGGGTCGACCCCAGCCATAGCCGCAGCTAATTTTTAATGCTGGTTATTACAGATGAAATCATCCCCAGCCATGGCCGAACTAATCTGGTATGGGAAACATGGCCGAACTTTCCCATGTATACACCTACCCAGACCCTCCAAGTGCACTGAAATAGTTTTTTGTTTTACCCATAATTTTAGTACTTTTACATTGTTTTGGGAGTATTTGGAGGGTCTAGCCATATTATATATAGATATATTTCGTATAAGCCCAGAAAAGAGAGAGCAGTAAAATCCTACACAAATAGTGCAGCCCATTCCGGCTGTTTCTTTTTTTTTGGTGTATACATCAACTATTTGAAATGACATCAAGATGTAAACTTGGGGAGAAATGATTTGCTGGTGCTGAAAAAAACAAGAACACATATATTTCTAGTCATTTCTGCACATCCAAAAAACATCACTTGCGGACGCCCATATGGGTTATCGGACTTCACCATCGAAGATTTTGCGCATTCATTCACGAGCTCTTTTGGTGTGCAATGGGGTATTATTAACCATTATCAAGCATCATCAGCTATTCTTAGCTATTCTTAGCCATAATCATTAAGTATTTTTTGCCATACATTGACCATGATTAACAATGATTATTAACCATTACTAACCATGAAACATTGGATTCACCATGATGAAAACACCACGTTTTTCACCATGAGTTCCCCGTCGACCAGGCACGGCAAAAACGAGGCATGCAACTTCGCGTGCGGCGCTTTTTTGAAGAGATGCAACGGGCAGGCCGGGAGCCAGCTGGAAACCAACTGGTTGTTTTCACTGAAACAATATGATCAACATGGTATCCTGGAGGTCCGGGGATATCATGATATCTGATATAATTATCTGGGTAATTCTGGGTATACGGGTAAGTATTCCAAGATGGCTTGAGTTCAGACATGGTGAATGATGTTCATTAATTCATCCAGATTACATTCCATTGGCACCGATGAACATATCCAATAAATTCCCAACAGCAGTGCTTGCAACGGAATGGACCCATGGAAAATTCTAATCCTTAGCGCGGTTGCAGGGCTCAGTTCATAATATGGAGGTTTCCTAAGTCATGGGGGTACCCCTGTTCATCATCCTTTTTGAATGGATTTTCCATCACTTTCCAAGCCCCCAGGTATATCCCCATGACTTAGGAAAGCTCCATTCATAGAATTGGATGATGGGAAAATTTACAGGAAAGCCGTATATTTGATGGTAAAAACCATGATTTCCTGTAGATTTTCCCTTAAACCAATCCAATGATCCATATTTCTTCCCCATTCTTCCCCCATTCATCTGTTGTTTTGATGGACCCTAAACCCTGTAGGTGTTCCTCCCACCGAAGCTGCGATGAAAGCCCTGGGGAAGGCCAAGGACCACGCGGATTGTTAGGAATCCCAACAAAAATTATTAGTCCAGACTGTAATGAATTCTATAATTTTTGATGTCCATTCTTAGAATCACAGTTTTTTTTAATCACAATCAAACCATATGGATCCCATATCCCATATGCTCCATGGTGCTGGAATAGTTACCAACATTTGCCGCAAAAAACACCCAGTCATGTAGGTAATAAATATATCATACATTGAGCAGATGGGATTTTTCACCATGATATTTATCCATCCATTTTAACATAAATTCCCATATATAAATAAACATCCATATATTCACCATGGATCCCATATATTCCCATATGTAATTTTTCACATCCTGAAAGACTTAGGATCCCAATTTTTTTTGGGTCCATTGAAAAAGGGAAGATCGGTCGACTCAAGGCCGAGCCGCCAAGCCCGTTTGGTGCAGCAGTGACTTTCTGATAATGAGTCATGCCCGTTCAGTGGTTCTGAGGCTTATGATATGATATGATATGCATTGTATTAATGTGTACTATGTTATATGGGTATGGGTCAATACCTATTAATACCATTTTTAGTGGGATGAACATCCATTTTAACCCAGCTATGACTTGGGGTTCACTAGGTACCAGGGTTTTGACCAATAGCCATATGATATGCATTGTATTAATGTGTATTATATTATATTAACACAAACGATTTCTGGCATTTTCTCTGGGTATTTGCCGCTCCCTTGCGCTCTCCAGAGGAGTCTCTCCAGAGCGAGCCTTTGACGACCGAGGAGTTGGCAGGTCATGGGTGGTGGGGGACTTCTGGTGGTTTCTGGCGACGGAGAAACCATGGATTCAGCTGAAGGGGCTGCACTGGTAAAATGCACTCTATATATATATATAATACACATATGATATTTGTATATGTAATATATACAATATAGACTATATATATATATATGTACACAATATCCATAATATATACAATATATATATATACACACACACACACCATGTTTTTGGTTTCTTCAAAATTTCAATCAAATGCCATTCCAGGCAATACCTACAATGGAGGAACTGTACTGTCGGTACATATAAATATACATACATACATGTATATATACACATATATATATATACATATATATATATACATACATATATATAGATATGTATATATATATATACATACATATATATATACATATATACATATATATATATACATATGTGTATATATAATTTTCCAATACGAACATGATGTGTGGCATCCCAAGCTGCTCGGACCACCTCGTTTCAAATACACTCCGCAGGTGATGCGACGAGTTCCTCGCCGCGCTATTTGGTGCTCGTCACCTTGGCGGAGGCAGAAAAACCATCTGAAGTGACATTGTTTCTGACATGGGGATGGATCAATACCTATTAATACCATTTTTAGGGGGATGAACATCCATTTACCAGCTATTTTGATGTTCACCAGGGGTACAAGGTTTTGACACACTGCCACATATCATCTGGAAGTACCCTCTGGTAAACTAACATAACTATGGAAAATCACAATTTTTAATGGGAAAATCCACTATTTCTATGGCCATTTCCAATAGCTATGTTAGTTTACCAGAGGGTATATATCAAAAACTTGAAATCCCCCCAACCTCCATCCATGGAATCATTGAACTGGGGGATTTTGCAGCACAGTTTGAGTACCAGAGGCAATCCCATTTTCTGGCAGTTTTAATCTGGTTGGTTGTTTCAAACATTTTGTATTTTCCACAATAAAAGGGAGAATCCTTCCCATTGACTTTTATATTTTTCAAGATGGTCAAAACCACCAACCAGATAATGAATATGTATGTGTATATATATATATATGTATATTATGTTGTTCTAACATTCTATCTGACATTCTTTCTTGCATGTGTTCGGGTCCGTGCCCAGATCTGGAGCTCGGGATCCCCTTTTTTTGGTCGGTATAACATGGTGGCCCCCCCGTTACGTTGGGTTATACCGAGCTCGACCACCTATACTTCCATACTTCCCCAACAACTACACAATTGGATTCACCCGAGCTCATCCAGTCGTGCAGGGCTGGTGAGTATCTCCCATCGCCCAGCATAGACAGAGCAGTGGAAATGACGACCTGAGAAAGTCGTCGGCTTCGCTGCAAGGGATGTCGACTTTACCCTCTGGTAAACTAACATAGCTATGGAAAATCACCATTTTTAATGGGTCGGTAAATCCACTATAAATGGTCATTTTCAATAGCTATGTTAAATTACCAGAGGGTACCATAGGCCTTCCCTTCCTCGCTTGCCCCAACCGGCCTCACTTGGATCACACAGGCTGAGACCCTTCGCTGGTTGGCGCGAAGTGCAGCCAAAACGGATGTGGGTTTCGCGCTGAAAAGTCTGGCAGGACGACAGTTGGAGGTGCGGCTTGGCGCTGCCAGGGACAGTAGGATTTATCCCACATAGTCACCATCCACTTAACATGATGATCATGGGATCATATGAAACGTGGGAACCCTGGAAATGGCATGATGTAAAAATGCCCCCCCATGTTGGCATGATTGGGTTTACCCGTTTACCCGTTTACCACCCAGCACTTTCCAAACGACTCAGAACTTTAGAGGTCAAATTCATGATCCAAAATCGCCGGCCCTGGAGGATGTTTAATATGTTTGATCCATACCGAATCCATACCCAAAAGTGAGGTGTTTGATGGGTCCTAAGCGGCTTTGTCGCGGTCTTACTGGGTTCATGGTCCATGATTCAAGCTATTTTCACGAACCAACCTTGGTTTTTCATAGTTTAAGAGCATGTTAAAACCATGGTAAACCACAACTTTTAAATGCTGAAAGCGTGCCCTTTTGGGATGTTCCAAGCTGATCCCCACGAGATTCCAGAGAGCCTTCCTGATCACATGTGATTTCAGCTTTCGCTGTCACTGACATGTGAGCAGTGGCTGCTAAACCCCTGGCAGGGTTGATGATTAGTTCGGAGATGATACTACCCAATATATATATAATTATACAGTATATATATACATACAGTATATATTGGGGATTATTATAATCCAAGAACGGGGAATCCCTATAAACCAACCATGATTAAATGGAATGATAGAGGGATTTATTTCACACTGCTCATGTGGCTGTCTCAAATCCCAGTGAAATTATGCCACAAATTGGAAGATGAGTGGAAGCCGTGCACACTCAACTCGTGTTTTGGTTGCGCTTATGGGATCGCCAACTCAAAAGGTAAATCGCCCAATGGGATGCCCAATGGGATGTCAAGATGTCCATTCCATCGGTTGATGTCATCACCAAGCCGCAGGTATCATAGTTTGTTGATGTTTGTTGTATATCCCGCTGGACCCAATGATCAGCGAATATATTGAATATATCCCCCAAAAAAAGGTATCCGTAGAAAAAATATCAGCCAAAGAATATTCCCATATGACTTGTATTCCATAGACTATATCCCCAAATGTAGATATCCCATAAATTATATCCCATATGAAGTTTATATCTCATATATTCAATCCCAGAATATATAGATGTGTGATTAATCATGTATAAATCAACTAGAAACAAGTCATCCTATATCCCATAGGCAAATCATCATGTTTGCCATCTGTAAATGAGCCATGGCTTCCATAGCAAACTGTTAAATAACCAGAGGGTGTATTCGTTCCCACCATTGTGTTATATACTGTAAAGAATTCTATGTCTGGTAAATATGATGGTTATTCCAGTATTGTGTTATTTGGATACCAATTGGTTCCCAGAATTAGTCACAAATACCAGAGCTAGCAATAATATATGGGGGGTCAAAATATCTACAAAACTATCAATTTTATTGGGACAAAAACCATCTACCAGCTATAACTTGAGGTTCACTAGGTACCATGGTTTTGATGGCCGGGCTATGCCTCCAGGCTTCAGCTGGTTTCATCGCGTCAGATCAGAATCTTGAGAGGCCGGAAATTGCGTAAAAAAGGCAGTGGAAAGTCATGGGAAATCTGTGATGTAAAACCTGTTGTTATTAACATAGTTATATAATCACTATAAGAATCACTATTAGTGATTACCTTCCAGATTGCTACTAAATCACTACTAATAGTAAGTCATTAAATAACTACTAAACCACTAAATCTGGATGTAGAAACCTGTTTTGGTGCTATTTGCCAACCAGACCGGATTCAGGTCGTACATGAGGCCGGCAAGTTAAAAAAAATTGGGCCTGTTGAAAGCCGTGAGTTTTTACTGATGTTCTTTTGAACCTTTGTTTGGTAGTTTGCATTGCTGGCTCGAGATGGCTTGAGTTTGATAGAGAGGAACAAAGGAGCCAAGAAAAATGAAAGTGAAGAACAGGAGAGACGGCAACAAAGAAGGAAAGAGTTAGAGTTTCAGGACGGGCCCTTTGAGGGAGAAAGGTTCCCGCGAATTTCTTTTATCCCGTCCCTGAAGATCCCCAGTTATTCAACACCGCAATTGTGGCGAGGCCACATCCACCTGAGAGAAGCAGAGGCATAAGCCAGGGTCAAAATGGGCAGTTTGATAAGGAACAGAAAAACAAGGGGAAAGAAAAGAGACGAAAAGAGAAGAGCAACAGAAGAAAAAGGGAACACATGAACATACCCAAAGAGAACATTCACGACATAAGTGTGGATTTCTTCGCTCTGCTTATCCTTTCCTCTATACTGTTCATGTATTTGCCATAAAAGTCATATTTACTTTTATGATCTTTTATGTTTGAAATAAATCTTTGGATATTTTTAGCTATTAAACATATTTATATATTTTAACGGTAATTGAAGTATTTCATTTTCCATGTTTTATTCAATTCAAATATAGAAGATCATCGAAGTATGTGCTTAAAGGAGGCCACTTGCGACAACACCACGTTGAGAGGCTGAAACATCCTTGCATTTGTGTCTCAGTTTTGGCAGTCCCTTCATTTCTTTAAGAACATAATTTTTATATGGATTATATGGCATCTTGTGATTATATGGCATCTTGTAATATATTCCATGTTTTGCAAGGAAGTCGAGAAACTCGTGGAGCTTTGTTTGTTGCTACAATGTGGGGCCCTCCAGTTATAAGTTGGTTTATAAATCCCATTAACATCCATTAACTATAGTTATTTGCGTATCATAAACCATAGTGAAATTGGAGTTATGTGCACCAACTGAACGCTATCGAAAACGGGGGCCCCACATTGCTGAATTTCCCCTTATTTTTGGTGTTCGGAACATCGAGACCCCGAGGTTTTCATGACCGCTTGACCTCAGGCAGCTATCGCTGGTGCGACTCTTCAACTGTGAGATGTTCTTCGGGGAAATGGAACTGCAGTTGTTGGAACAAGAGCTCAACGAGGTGAAAAAAACCTGGCGGATCTTTTTGCATGTTTTTTTTGGTAATTTATGGGTATTATGGAAAAAACATAGGCTATAAATGGATGGTTTTATGGGGAAATCATCTACAGACAGATGAGGAATTTTACATTTGCTGCTTGATATCCCCAGGTATCAAGTAAGAGTTGTGTTTTTGGTCGATTTAAGGACATGATTTTCTGTCAATTGTCCTTCTCCGCCCCGGCCCTGCTGGCCCTGGCAGGGTGGGAATCATTCGGAGCCTTTCGTTTTTGACTGTAGCTCTCATACAATGTGGGGCCCCCCAGTGATGTTTGTTGGTTTATAAACCCCATTAACTATAGTTATAAGTACCATAAACCATAGTGAAATTGGAGTTATGTTCACCAACTTAGCTATCGAAAACGGGGGCCCCACATTGTAGAAGTGTTTTTTGATTCTATACCCCGCTACTGTACCCTAAAAACCTGGCTTGCTGGAAAACTGGAATTTATCATCGCTGCATAAAATGGTATGGCTGTTCATGAACTAAAGTGGATTTTCAGAAATCTTGCACCAGCTGTTTTATGGTGTTTTATGGTGTTTTATCCCAATATAAATTAGGCGTTCAACATGTTTTTTTTTTTCCATCCTTTTGGTGCAGGATTTCGCAACTATCCACAGGGATGGATTTGGGCCAACCTTAACCTGAAATCATACGTCTTGGCCATCAGAAATAGTGCGAGCATTTGACAGCTGGATATTGTAAATTGTATATATATATATATACATATATACATATATTATAAAATATATATGTACAGGTACTCATATGTATATATATATATACTAGTACGTTGTATCTATAGATGAGTACTGTAAATATACATATGTATAAATATATATATATACACAGTATATATATATATATCCCAGTGATACTTGGTGAAAACCGTCCTTACCCCAAATATATCCCAATATATCCTGATATCTCAATGCTTTCTGCATTTCATGATATGTTTTTGCAGAAATTCAGGGACCCCGAATGACCCAATGACCACATCTATGAAGGTGCCTTTGCACCTTCGTCAGAGTTGGTTCGAAGAGCTTTTGCGCCTACGGCGTCGACGTGCGCGGTTTCTGTGGCTCGACACGCCGCTCGCGAAGCTCTTCACGCCACAGGAGTGGAGTAGTGGAGTTCGCCGGGGTGACACTCAAACTGTGGCAAGGTTTATGGTCTGAAAATTGGGCACCCTTAATTCAAAAATAGATTAGAACATCATTTATTTCTCCAAAGAGAATAGCGGATTAACCCATCATGTTAACCCATCATGTAAGCCTGGTAAGCAGTACCTATTTCACAGTTGGAAAGACGCTTGACGACTTCACACATCCCAGTGTCATCTGTAGTTTCTGGTCGGCCTACTTGAATCATTTTGAACCCATACAACAATCATATCTATATATATATGTATTCGTTTAAACGATAAGTAGCAATCACAATCACTTGCACGGTGATGTGATGAGTATATATTTGAGATTCATTTAGTTATCAGCCTCTGTAGATCAAAACTGAACAAGTATTACACATATTGTATATCAAAAATAATCATGGAGACATCTCACAGTCTCTAATTCGATATCATTCTATATCTAATTCTACTTGTATATCCTAGAAAATGGAGAATCAACAATTCAGAGACATCTCACTGTGTCACTGTGCTTCTCTCAGCATTTCTCAGGAGCACTGGAAATCCTTACGCTCGCAGTCCCTGCGCGCAGCCTTGCAGCGGGCCTTGAGCGTCTTCGCCGGACCTCTGGAAGACCTGGAGGTGGATCTGACTCATTTTGGATCAACGAAAAAATGTCAAGCCCGGATTAATATTTGATATACAATATTTGTAATACTTGTTATACCATATGTAATATACCATGTAATATTACCATGGTTGACAATTATTGTAAATGGATTTATATTCATGGCAAGCATGGTATTTGACAATATAAACCATTGATCTGTTGGATTTTGCTAAACCATTATGACTAGAATTAATAGAACAATAGACCAATGGTTTATATTGACTATAATTATAGACATAATGGTTAATTGGATTATGATTGGTCTAAGTCTATCATTATGACTATAATGTCAACCCCACTATGATTAATCCAGGGTTGACTTCAACTAATGGGTAGAATCACCGGGGTTCTTCAGCAAAATCCCTTCCCCCTAACCCATGACGGATCCGGCTGGTGCTGGTAGATTAATGCTAACATGACTGGGGTATATTGATGGTAAAATATGGTAAACTAATGAAACTACCATCTGGTTATGACATTCACAGTTCGCCATGGAAAGATCCACCATGCTATTAATAGGTAAACCATCTATTTCTATGGGCCATCTATACCATGGCTAGGTTAAATAACCAGAGGGTAAATAATGTCAACCCCGGATTTTGCTAAACCATGGTTTATTAATTAGGGGGGTACTCCTCCAATAGCCATTTCATCCAATACATAAATGGTACCCTCCCAATTAAGCAATCTAGGGTTTTATTAATCCAGGGTTGACATTCAATGGGGAGAATAACGGGGTATTCAGCAAAATCCCCTAACCACCCAATAAAAAACCACCCCCTATTAAACAAACCATGGTGGATTTTCATGGATTTTCCACATTCCATAAAGGGACCTTTTTAAAGAGACCCTTTTTTAATGGGGTGTTTTTCATATGATGGGATTAATGACAGGAGAAGTAACCCGGCCTGGTCAACATACAAAAAACGAACTGGAAAGATCCACCATGCTATTGATAGGTAAATCAACTATTTCTACGGGCCATTTTCAATAGCGATGTAAACGTTTACCAGAGGGTACCCTCCGGATATGGAGGTTTCCTAAGTCATGGGGGTACCCAAGAATGGATGGTTTAAAATGGAAAAGCAAATAAAACACCATGGATCATTTGGGGGTACCCCATTCCAGGAAACCTCCATATCAACCATGATGCCTGGTTTTATATGGTTTAGTAGGGATCATATTGGGAAAACAATGGGATGATAAAAGGGAAATACTGTAGGTGAGCATGGAATGATAAAAAGGAAATACTGTAGGTGAGCAGAAACTAGATCTGAAAGAGTTTGGCGACAGGGTGCCAGCTCCAGTAGAGGCTGCTCTAAAGAAGAGAACTTGATGAAAAATCCTTCACAAAATAGAAGTGGTAGTGCCAATCGAAGCAATCCTTCATATGGTTTTTTATGATGTTTTATGGGTATGAATGATCATGTTGATACCCATAAAACATATGGTAGACCATTTATTTTGATACCCGACCCTTTATCATTTTATGATTTTTATGGGTCAAAATGATCAAGACCCCTTAAAATGAATGGTCTAGCAGGACACAAAAAAACAATTTCTGGGTCCATTGGAGCCCCTGAATGGGGATAGATCCCAGCACCTGGATGAACCGTTCGATAATTACTACCCAGGTGCTGAATGGGATGCACATCCAAGTATCGAACTGTTCCCACATGTTGGACTATAAAAATGTTGAGGATGTTCGAAGATTCGTTTTTTCTGTTTGAACTTGGGGTTTCCGGAAAAGATATAAGTTGAACTTGGTTCACGTCTATATCAATTAATGTAACATACATACACACATATATATATATTATATATATAGGGAGAAAGAGAGAGAGAAAAAAAAAAGACATCATCACACTGTGTATGGAATTCCCCCCTTTGGGGGGTATGGGTACGTACGGGTTTCCAGTTTGTTAGCTGTTCGATGGGTTATAATGGTGATTCCGAACTTCCAGATGGATCCCTCCATTAGTGGATGATCTATGAAGTCTAGCTTTTTGATGCCAGCTAGACTAATGGTGAAAATATCAAGAGTTCAGAAGCTGCTTTGAAGCTGCTTTGAAGATGTATCGTTTTACTGGAAACCCAAGTTCAACCAGAAGGATCCCTCCATTAGTGGATGATTTTTTTCTTGGTTTACCTGGAACCCCAAGTTTCCACTTCATCATCAAAAGATCTTGTTTTTCAAGGGCATGAAAAGCCACGATGAAGCCATGAAAAGCCATCTGGAGGCCCTGCAGAGGCCAATGACTTCGGATGCTTTGCGACAGAAACTTCTGAAGCTTCGTTTGGGCTTTTCTGCTGCTGACGTGCAGGTCTAACGGTTGGGTGGGTTGATGATGATGATGATGATGATGATGATGATGATGTTGATGATGATGATGACGATGATGACGACAGATCCGGGAATCAGTTGGGCAAAGATCGGAAGCCGTTGCCACAACAAGACGGACTTATTGGATCCTTAAAATAAAAATAGGATAATACATATATACATATATATATATATATGACATGACAATTATGACAGATCGCATTTCAGAACATAGGATCCAGTATTGTCAGACCTGAAACATGCCTTTTTTTGTCAGCCGCGTTATGGGATTTTTCAGGAATCCCATCGGATTGATCCTGGATTTGATCATATCATGGCACCACCGTTGGGTGTGGCCTTGAAGCGTGAAACAAACAAAAGTCCGAGAGTCAGGGTTGAAGCGTTGGTGATGAGTTGTTGGGGATTATACTAGCCAATTTTTCTTGGGGATTCCAAACAAAACCAATGGGATTTTCATGGGATTATACTATTACTGTCTATTACTACACAATTTTTCTTGGGGATTCCAATAAACCAATGGGATGAATTCATGGAATACAGGTGATGTTTGTTGTGCTAGATCCTCTCAAAATCCTCGCTGGTTTTCTCTCCTTTCTTTTGTCACATCAGCCCGCCATCCTGGGTGTTCTGAACAGCCAGGATGCAGTGAATATGCTGCCGGTGAGCGGAGACATGGTTGAGGTGGATGATGCGCTTCAGGCGAAAAAACTCGGGGAGGACGCCTTTTCTGCAGGTGCTGAGGGAAAAAAATACAATTTTTTTTTGGGGGGCTATCAGGCGACAACCATTCTGCGGTGGTGACATTTTCAAGCATGTTGCCATCAACCATATTTGTGACTGATTGGTGGTTTGAAACATTTTTTAATGTTCCATACATTGGGAATAATGATCCCAACTGATTAATATTTTGCAGAGGGGTTGAAACCACCAACCAGGTGATGATGTTTTGCCATGAGTAACATGTTTGGATTGGATTGTTGCACCGAGCAGGTCACTTATAAACCTAAGTGCTCCAGCTACCCCATACAGTTATATAGTATACTTGTATTGTACATGTATACATCATAATTTAATACTGGGACCCTCAAGTACACTTGAAATGGTGTTCTTCCCCATATTTTTAGTACGTTTACCATTTTTGAGATATTTGAAGGGTCTAGGTATGTCCTTGTACAGAACTCGTGGTATTTCTCAAAGTCTAAACTGGCTAGGACATGTTCTGATTGTTACTGGGAAGATAGCAAACCATCATTGGCGAATGTTTTTTTTTTCCCCAGCAATGCACAATTAGATCATTAGAGGGTAAGTCCTTATAGCAAGGTATGAGAGTTTCCTGAAATGGAGGTAACCCCAAATGGATGGTTTATGATGGAACATCCTACATCATCCTACTAAAATAGATGATTTGGGGGTACCGCCCCATTTAGGAAACCTCCATATACACTCGCATCCTTGAATTGAATTACTATCCATCTAAATTAGATTCATTGATGAATCAATTCATAAGTAAATAACTAAACAAGTAACTGCATGTGTATATACATATATATGTATATATGATATATATATATATTATATGCTATTCTTCGTATAGAAGATGTCATGCTGTACTGCAAACAAATCTTGGACATTCAGACGTAGGCATGAAGGTCTTATGAGAAACAAATTCAGATGGAGATGTTTGCAAAGATAGCCCTTGCGAAATAAAACAAGATAAACAAGTACCCTACATGTCTCGCTTCTTCTGTCAACTCCGGATGAATGTGAAAACCAACAGCTTCATCACCCTCTGGGAATCAGCTAAACAGCTATGGAAAGCCACCCCAAAGACTTCGACTTTTTCGATGCCTTTGTTTGGGTACTTTGAATCCTCAATGGGCCACTTTCAATAGCTATATTACATTACCAGAGGGTATTAACCTTCCTATTCCATTCTTGTTCCATCAATATTCCATCAATATCCCATGAATGTGAAAATTTAGTATCCCTTACAAATCCCTATAATTATGTTCCAATTAATTTTCCCTATAATGTAAGATATTATTGAAACATTAATGAATATCGCTTACAATATCCCTATCCAATAATATCCCTAGAATTATCTTAGGTCTTCGTTTGAAAAAAAATGTGCTGCACTCCATTTGGCAAACTGCTTGCCGAAAAGTTGCCTTCAAACTTAAGTTTGATGAGGTCAACGGGGGCAGTTACCGCAGTTGACACAAATTTGAGTCGCCCATAGGTGAACAGAACCATAGACTTTGATTGTGAATGGTTTAAGAACAAGTCGTTTTTTTTTAATCTAGCATGATTTTTTTGGAGCAATGCCTCTAATTTTACTCAATGTGATTCATTCAGAACACAAAACACATGGTGCTTATCCCATTTCATGGGAATCGAAATTAACCGGTACTCCCCCATACATCATAATACATCCCGAAGGGTTTTAAATGGATCGATGATCATTCCACTCCCCACTACGAACTAGGTATGATTCATATGAATCATATGATATTCCTATAGAATTTCCATGGAAAAATCCGAAAAATCATGATCAAAATCATGGTAACATGGTAAAATCCACAAAAATGCCCTAATTCCCCATGGATCCCCATGGCATCACCCGGCAAAACGCCTCGAGTTTACCAGGTTCAACAAGCCCTGGCGGCCCAACGTGAACGCCGGGGATTGAAGGCTGCCAAAGATGCTCAGGTACGGAGTGGGTTTTTCGATGCCCTTGGAGAATGTTTAGAAAGATATCTAATACATATCTGGTTGGTGGTTTGGAACATTGTTTATTTTCCCCAATAGTTGGGATGATGATCCAATCTGACTTTCATATTTTTCAGAGGGGTTGAAACCACCAACCAGATATACATATATATATACAGTATATTAATATTCATATATTAATATTGACACTAATATCAAAAAAATATCAATATTGATATATTATATAATATATAACTATACATACACATGTACGTGACTGTTTGTATGCTGCATATACCGTATATTTACGTATATACATACAGAATAGAGTTGGACAAATTGAAACGATCTTACTGGGATGGCACTCTAAATGATGGTTCGGAAGGGCAACTAGCCGATGTGGGCCTTTGGTCAGGCTAGTACATGAGATACATACATGCATGCATACAATATACAGATACAGTATACATATATGATATATTTCTATACCTGTACTTGTGTATGTACATATTATAAACACTCATATTCAGAGATGTTGATTTATAGCAATCCGATGGAGATTTATATCAATCACATGTGATACAGTGAGGGGTTTGAATCTTCTTGCTGGGTAACAGCAGCCATGGCCAGATAGGATATTTCTTGTAGGGATGGGTGGCTGTCGTGGCTTTTGCGTCCGGTCAAACTTGACAACTCGTCAATTTCTTTTGGCCTATAGTAGTAGTACGCTCTGGTAAACATACAAAAAACAAACTGGAACATCACCCTGCTATTAATGGGTAAATCAACTATTTCGACTGGGCCATTTGAAACATAGCAAACTGTAAACGTTTACCAGAGGGTATCATGTCGTATCCGAGTCCGAGTCCAACTTTGGTGAACTCCCGTGCCCCGACTTGACCATGTGAGGCTTGAGAGCCCACGTGCAAGGGCCAATTTCACCATCTCGAAGTGGTTGGAACATGTTAGAACTTGGATGAAGCTGCCAGAGAGTTGGGTGAATTTCGAACATATCCGAACATGGGGTATACCCCTCAACCATCGGAAAGCAATGAAGTTTACAAGCATCAACTTTGAGGGTTTTCCCATGGTTTTTTTCAGACCAACCCAGTTCCAGTCGACTCATCTTTGGGGCTGCAGTATCTGCAGTTCCAGCTCCAAGTGGGTGTACATGTTAGATAGATATTTAGATAGGAAAACATATATATATATACCATGCATATACTCTAGACCCTCCAAATACCACCCAAAACAATGTAAAAGTACTGAAATTATGGGGTGAAACCGGTGAAACCCCAAAGAAAAAAGAAGGGTACAAACGGAGGGTCTAGGTATATACATATCTGATTATCTGGTTGGTGGTTTGGAACCATGGAATTTTATGACTTTCCATTCAGTTGGAAATAATAATCCCAACTGACTTTAACTCCATCATTTTTCAGAGTGGTAGGTCAACAACCAACCAGATAAAAATATGTAAACATACCCTCTGGTACATAACTATGGAAAATCACCATTCTTGATGGGAAAATCTACTATAAATGGTCCATTTTCAATAGCTATGTTAAATTACCAGAGGGTAGTTGTAGGGGCCCAACGTCTCCCAACGTTCGGGGCTATTTCCAGGCCGCGGCTGAACACCTGGAAAAAGCGCAACGTGTGTGGAATTGTCGGATGCCCGTCCTGGCAGAGCAGCCCATGGAATGGGCGGTTTTTGCGGTCAAATCCACCATTTAAGGGGAATCCCTCTATATGCATACTGATATAATCTGATATATGTATTTGTACATATATATATAATATGAAAAGTATACAAGTATCTGATATTATGTATATATATATATGATTATTGATCTAAGAGTATACACGTACTGTATATTAATATCAATAATATATGTATAACACACATATATATATATATAGGTGGTTGTCGCAAAGTGGGGCAGCATTTTCCGGTGCTCAAATTGCCATCACATGTTTAATGCCAGCGATCTCCGATTCTCGTCAACTGGTGTTTGGACAAAACCCAATAATGGTCAATACATATATATATATGTACACACATAATACTATGTATGTATAATATAATGTATAGAATATATATATATATATATATGATATGATATGTGGGATGTTATATATATACACTAATACACTAGATATTATACATTGGAGATAGATACATAGTATATAAATATACCAATACACATGATCTGGTTGGATGTTTCACATATCATTTCCAGCAGAGGACGCATCATATCCCTACGGACTTCCCCAAAGAAATCATCCCGAACGTCGCAATATTGGTGCTTCCAAACGGCGCATAAAAAGCCGTTTGGGAGGCTGATTCATGGGTCAATTTCCATCAATTTCCTATATATATATATATACGTGCGTGTATAATAATATGATATATATATATATATACATATAATATAGTTATATATATATAGATTTATATATATATATAGGTATAGATATATTAGTATATATATATAGATATAATCTTGTTAGTTCGATCCCTTTCATTTCCAGTAACATTATCAATCTACTTGTCCATACGCAAGTGTCCCATGGTATCCCGCAGCGCTTCACAGCTTTGAACGAACTGGGACATTTTTTTTTGGCGCCGAGGAATTGCAGTTTCATGAACAGTGCGCTCAGCAGCACCTGCGCCGTGTGCGACTATGGATGGACGGGGCAACGCGAATGTCCCAGTGACAAGTGGTGCTGTACAGCATCCACAGGAGCGCCGGTGAATGTACTATGGATCATGGGGCATACCCGGCCTGGTTATGTCAACAGTTTGCTATTTAACATGGCCCAGTCGAAATAGTGAATTTTCCCATTCAACATGGTGACATAGAAATAGTGAATTTTCCCATTCAACATGGTGATTTTTCCATAGTTAATATAGTTATGTTAATTTACCAGAGGGTAATGGATATGGACAAGTGAGGAGCCCAGAAAAGGCCAGCATTTCGTTTGGGGGATTGGTACCGTTTGTTCGACATTGGCCGCCATTGGCCGTATGTTTTGGATATGACATGATCCCAGCGGCGAGATGGGCGGAAGTGAAGAGATCCCGCAGTCCACAGGTTTTCAGCGACTGGTTGATTACCCTCTGGTTATGTCAACAGTTTGCTATTGAAAATGGACCATTTATGGTGGATTTACCCATTAAAAATGGTGATTTTCCATAGTTATGTTAGTTTACCAGAGGGTATTTGTCGAACAAAAAACATGTTCAGCCAGTGTTCTGTGTCCAACACAGAAGCAGCACGTCTTTGACACTACGTTGTGCTAGGAGGTTGTACCTTCTTTAATCCCAAGATGCTCTTTTACTGCGAGGCCCGTGCGATTTGTTTTTTTACCCGACAGTCCAAGTCAGTGAGTGAGTTGAATGTTGATTTGGTGGAGCTAAGATACATCAATCATCATAAACATTCATAAACCACATTGAACTACCGGGTAGTTCAAGACAACCAATCAGAGCATGCCTGCAGGTTTGTGGTCGAGTTCGTCCTGATTTGGCCAGCATGGCATTCTGAGACATCTCCGGCTGAGAATGCTGAGACCATCGAAGTATGATATAGCATGATATAGCACGACTGGTTGGTGGTTTGGAACATTTATTTCTCCATATATTGGGAATAATCATCCCAACTGACTCATATTTTTCAGAGGGGTAGGTCAACCACCAGTATAGTATGATCATAGAAGAGCCGGCAAACAGCCACCATGACATGGAATGATCACAAGCCACATTTTGGCGGAGTGCTGTAGAGTTGGAAACAATGGGACAACATCTTTCAAAATCTAAAGACATAGATCCCCGTGCAAGTCAGTTGTCATCTATGTTCCGCATGTTTTTATGCACTGGACAAAGTGAGACCATGTAGATGTAGGGGATGTGGGCAGGTTCAGTTTGCTCGACTTGTGTTTGCCGAGATTTATGATTTGTCTTCAGTTATTTACAACCCTGTGATGTAGGGTTTTCTCAGTGGTATATAAGTTGGATAAACATTGTACATAAGTGTGGGGGAAACATTGTACATAAGTATATAATAGTAACTTAATAGTATGTATATATATATATACATACATACATAAGTCAGTTTCTGATTGGTCATGCAGACATGGTCCCCAAGAAATTTATTTGGAGTTGAGATTTTCTGACATTTGTTTAGGGATTGTTCATAGGTTTCCCTTCGCACAAACATGGCGCAGGCTGGTAAATCCAGCGTTCGTGTCCATTTGTAGTTTAGTTTCCCAGCGAACTAAGCCTCCATTTACAATGTATCTTCCCATATTTTCCTATGATCTTCCCATATTTAGAGTTATTTATATACCCTCTGGTTATTTAACATAGCCATGGAAAATGGCCCATTTATAGATGGTTTACCTATTAAAAATGGTGATTTTCCATGGCTATGTTAAATAACCAGAGGGTAAGTACTTCACCCTATCCAACAATATGTTTGACACCGGAGGGTACAACAGGGCCCAATCCTCAGCAGACGTGCCGCGTGCAGGGTGCAGTGGCTGTACAAAGGTCGCGGAACGTGTCCCGTCCGGAGATCGTGTTCCAGCGAAGCGTCAACTTGGGGAATTTGATAAATTTGTAAATATATAGTATATATAGTTATATATGCAGTTATATACTATATATATACTATATATATATACTATATATATATACTATATATATACTATATATATACTATATATGTAATGTATATATAGTGTATATATATACTATCTATACTATCTATACTATGTATACTATATATATATACTATATATAGACGCAACGCCCACCATTTGCCCCACAACTTACATGGGGTGGGGTGGGGTGGATGTTAACGTTCCTTTCAACCGCATTCCTTCGACCTTGAACAAGATGTCTGCAGATGTTGATGCTACGCTCACATGGGGTGGGGTGGGGATGTTAACGTTCCTTCAACCGCGTTCCTTCGACCTTCACAAGATGTTGATGCTACGTTACGCGTTCCTTTGACCTTGCACACGATGTTGATGCTACAGATGTTGATGCTACGCTCACATGGGGTGGGGTGGGGTGGGGTGGGATGGGGATGTTAACGTTCCTTCACGCTCCTTCGACCTTGCACAAGATGTTGATGCTACGCTACGCGTTCCTTCGGCCTTACACACGATGTGGATGCTACAGATGTTGATGCTACGCTCACATTGGGTGGGGTGAGGGTGGGGTGGGCTGGGGATGTCAACGTTCCTTCAACCGCGCTCCTTCGACCTTGCACAAGATGTTGATGCTACATTACGCGTTCCCTCGGCCTTGCACACGATGTTGATGCTACAAATGTTGATGCTACGCTCACATGGGGTGGGGTGGGGTGACCTGGGAGTGCGCGTAAGTCACCACGTCCCACATTGTATGTTGCTGCTGCTGCTGATGATGATGATGATAAATCATGATCATGATGGTGATGATGATGATGATGATGATGATGATTCATGATGATGATGATAATGATGATGATGATGATGATGATGATCCCGTCGAACTCTTCCAGACAACGGGCAAATGGTGGGAGTTGACAGTAAATATATATACTATATATACTATATATAACATAGACCCGGGCAAGCCGGCGGCGGAAGTTTCCCAAACATAAATGACCTATAGTTCAAAGACACCCTGTCCCGACCGTGTCCTTCCCTCGACACTCCACACCTCACACTGCACTCTTCGCACTCCAAACTTCAAACTTCACACTCCACACTTCACACTGCACACTTCACACTTCACAGTCCACACTTCACACTTCACACTTCACAGTCCACACTTCAGACTTCACACTTCACAGTCCACACTTAACACTTCACACTTCGCAGTCCACACTTCACACTTCACACTCCACACTTCTCACTTCGCACTTCACACTTCACACTTCACACTCCACATTTCACACTTCCCACTTCACACTTCTCACTTCTCACTGCTTCCTTCACACTCCAAACTTCACACTTCTCACTTCGCACTTCACACTCCACACTTCACAGTCCACACTTCACACTTCTCACTTCACACTTCACACTGCTTCCTTCACACTCCAAACTTCACACTTCTCACTTCGCACTTCACACTCCACACTTCACAGTCCACACTTCACACTTCTCACTTCTCACTGCTTCCTTCCCACTCCAAACTTCACACTCCAAACTTCACACTTCACACTTCTCACTTCGCACTTCACACCCCACACTTCACTCACACTTCACACTTCAGTCCACACTTCACACTTCTCACTGCTTCCTTCACACTCCAAACCTCACGCTTCACACTTCACACTTCACACTGCGCTCTTCGCACTCCACACTGCACAGTCCACACTTCACACTTCTCACTTCACACTTCTCACTTCTCACTGCTTCCTTCACACTCCAAACTTCACACTTCTCACTTCGCACTTCACACTCCACACTTCACACTTCTCACTTCTCACTGCTTCCTTCCCACTCCAAACTTCACACTCCAAACTTCACACTTGTCACTTCGCACTTCACACTCCACACTTCACTCACACTTCACACTTCACACTTTTCACTTCTCACTGCTTCCTTCACACTCCAAACCTCACACTTCACACTTCACACTGCGCTCTCCGCACTCCAAACTGAAACTTCACACTCCACACTTCACACTTCCCACTTCCCACTGCTTCCTTCACACACTGCTCTAAACGTACGTCCAACAAAAAAAACACGAGTGCCAAAATGGAGAAAATCTGCTAACAAACCCATTTCGCAGCCTTCATGCAGCCACTCCAAGACGATTTCCGAGATCCAGCTGCAAAAGACAATAGTATTACGAATGCAGCCACAGCACGAAGCAACCTTGACGCAGCCATTACATTGCGATCTGCAGAGACTGAGTTGCAAAACACAATAGAACTACGCGCAACGGCGTCGGAAATTGCAGCTCCAAAACCGGATCTCGACGCCAGAGCGAAAAAAAGACGATTTTGAAGCACTTTTTAAAAGGATTTTAGAAGGAAAATCACTAGCGCCAAAATGGAGAAAATCTGCTGACAAATCACTGTCGCAGCCTTCATGCAGCCACTCCAATACGATTTACGAAGTCCAGCTGCAAAAGACAATAGTATTACGAATGCAGCCACAGCACGAAGCAACCTTGACGCAGCCATTACAATGCGATCTGCAGAGATTGAGCTCCAAAACACAATAGAACTACGCGCAACGGCGTCGGAAATGGTAGCTCCAAAACCGGATCTCGACGCCAGAGCGAAAAAAAGACGATTTTGAAGCACTTTTTAAAAGAATTTTTAGAAGGAAATTCACTAGCGCCAAAATGGAGAAAATCTGCCAACAAATCACTGTGGCAGCCTTCATGCAGCCACTCCAATACGATTTACGAAGTCCAGCTGCAAAAGACAATAGTATTACCAATGCAGCCACAGCACGAAGGAACCTTGACGCAACCATTTACAGGGAGGGAACGATCCTAGACTTGCAAATCACAATGGAATTCCATCGGCAACTCATCCACCAGCAACACTTGCAATCCCATTTACAGTGAGGGAACGATCCTAGAGTTGCAAATCACAATGGAATTCTGTCGACCGCACATGCACGAAAAACAGTTGAAACCCCATTTACAATGCGGAACCGATCCGAGACCGATCCGAGACCGATCCGAGACCATCCGAGCATGATCCGACCACACACGAGACCGTCTCGCACCCGTCGCACCGCAGAGGTAGATCATCGAGGTTCGGGGACGCACTTTGTATGGAAAAACATAGGGGTTCGTGCATCTGCTATCTCTCAAAAACGCATTTCGTGCGAGACTTCCTTCAAAACTCCATCGGCAACTCCTCCACCAGCACCACTTGCAATCCCATTTACAGTGAGGGAACGATCCTAGAGTTGCAAATCACAATGGGAATTCCATCGGCAACTCATCCACCAGCACCACTTGCAACCCCATTTACAATGCGGGAACGATCCTACAGTTGCAAATCACAATGGAATTCTGTCGACCACACATGCACGAAAAACAGTTGAAACCCCATTTACAATGCGGAACCGATCCGAGACCGATCCGAGACCATCCGAGCATGATCCGACCACACACGAGACCGTCTCGCACCCGTCGCACCGCAGAGGTAGATCACCGAGGTTCGGGGACGGACTTTGTATGGAAAAACATAGGGTTTCGTGCATCTGCTATCTCTCAAAAACGCATTTCGTGCGAGACTTCCTCCAAAACTCCATCGGCAACTCCTCCACCAGCACCACTTGCAATCCCATTTGCAGTGAGGGAACGATCCTAGAGTTGCAAATCACAATGGAATTCCATCAGCAACTCATCCACCAGCCCCACTTGCAACCCCATTTACAATGCGGGAACGATCCTACAGTTGCAAATCACAATGGAATTCTGTCGACCACACATGCACGAAAAACAGTTGAAACCCCATTTACAATGCGGAACCGATCCGAGACCGATCCGAGACCATCCGAGCATGATCCAACCACACACGAGACCGTCTCGCACCCGTCGCACCGCAGAGGTAGATCATCGAGGTTCGTGGACACACTTTGTATGGAA